TCCTGAGTTTAAGTGATTCTCCTGCCTTAGCTTCCCGAGTAACTGGGACTACAGGCCCACACCACCACACCTAGCTGATTGTTTTGTATTTTTAGTAGAGACAGGGTTTTGCCATGTTGGCCAGGGTGGTCTTGAACTCCTCAGGTGGTCTGCCCAACTTGGTCTCCCAAAGTGCTTGGATTACAGGTGTGAGCCACTGTGCCCAGCCTTATTCTGTCCTTTTTAACAGTAATTTATACTGTAGGAATTCAGCAAATATTAATGTACCAATTCTTTTGTAGATCATCAGGTGGAAGGCTGCAGCTTTAAAAGACAAAATAGTGATTTTACTTTTATTTCATATTAGTTTTTATAACTCATTTTTTAAAAGTCTATTTCTGGCCGGACGCAGTGGCTCATGCCTGTAATTCCAGCACTTTGGGAGGCCGAGGTGGGCGGATCATGAGGTCAAGAGATCGAGACCATCCTGGCCAACATGGTGAAACCCCGTCTCTACTAAAAATACAAGAATTAGCTGGGCTTGGTGGCATGCGCCTGTAGTCCCAGCTACTCAGGAGGCTGAGGCAGGAGAATTGCTTGAACCTAGGAGGCGGAGGTTGCAGTGAGCCAAGATTGTGCCACTGCACTTCAGCCTGGCGTCCGGTGACAGAGTGAGACTCTGTGTCAAAAAAAAAAAAAAAAATTGATGGTTTATGGTATCCCAAAATATACATATTTATAACTGCAATTTATGTTTTATTCTTCATTAGTTCTGATCTTTTAATAATCATACAACTATTATTCAAAGAGAGTGATTGGTTTTCAAAACCTTTTTTTTATCTTGGCCACTGTCGTATAATAAACATTTCTGACATAGATATATTTTGAGTATCTACTAATTCCAGACCCTGTTCTAGTTGTTGGAGCACTTACTTAGGTGAAGGGATTTATCTTAGACAGTATCACCAAATGCAGTTCAGTTAAATAATAAGTACAAACTTATGTAATAGCCATGTTTCTTATTTTTTTTCACATTTTTATATGGAGTTTTAAAGTTACCCTACTATATTCTTAATTTTCCATTGTGTAATCCTTGTACTCTCAACTTGATTTAACTTAGTTGTTTTTGTTTTTGTTTTTGTTTTTGTTTTTGTTTTTGTTTTTTGAGACGGAGTTTCACACTCCTGTTGCCCAGGCTGGAGTACAATGGTGCAGTCTTGGCTCACTGCAACCTCTGCCTCCCATGCAAGCGATTCTCCTGCCTCAGCCTTCCGAGTAGCTGGGATTAGAGGAATATGCCACCACGCCTGGTTAATTTTATATTTTTAGTAGAGACAGGGTTTCTCCATGTTAGGCAGGCTGGTCTCAAACTCCCAATCTCAGGTGATCCACCCACCTCGACCTCCCAAAGTGCTGGGATTACAGGCCTGAGCCACTGCGCCCGGCCTGTTTACCTTAGTTTTAATTTAGTGTGGTTTAATATGTTTTGATTTGGTACTCAGCTTGTGAAAATAGCACAAACATTGAAAAGTTTTTTGAAGTGACATATTTAAGGTAATAATGAGAGATATGCATAATTTTCATAAAGTTTCCCTGCACACAGCCCTGTCTTCCTCTAGCCTCCTCTCTGTTTTTATCTGTCTCTGCCTTTGAGCCAGCATTTTGCTTTTGACTCATTATTCCATTAAAAAGTGATATTTCCTATTTCATTCTGTGTTGCCTTTATTTGGAATTTTCTTTGTTTATGGGTTGCCTGGAAAAATGTATATGCCTAATTTCATAAGTTTGAGATTGCAATATTTCTTTAGAAATTTTCATTATCTTGAAAAAAATTCTAAATTTTATTTTTTATATTAAAATGGTAACACATATTCTAATTAGTTGACTTATAGCTTAAGATTTTTTTTTTAATTTCTTTTCAAGGCCAGGAGACAAGCTTCTCAAGTCTTTACAGCTGAGAAGATTCCTTGAAGAATTAAGCATTTCAGTGATTGAGAACAATACTTTGTTTTCTAAATGTTGATATTGAACTACTTAACACAATTGTGAATCTGTGAATTCTCTAAGTACTTAATATATAATTTAATTTCTAAAATGCCTGTGTTAATTATGCCTATCATACTTCATTGTTTGGTAATTATTTCAATAAAATGTCTTGTTTTTGCATTGTGGATTTTGGTTTTCTTATCTATGTTTCAGAAACCAGTTTTATAGCTGTAAGCTGATATGCATTGGGTCTTTACTTTTGTTAGGTACTCTTAGCATTTTACATATATTACTTAGTTTAATCCTCAGAATAGTTCTGTGAGACAAGGACTATTATTAGCCCCAGAGGAAGCAAGCTAAAGCCCTGAGAGGTTAGTAATTTGCCCAAGAAAATAATCTTCATCCAGGGTATGAACCTAGGGTATCTCACTTCCAACCAAGCTCTTACCATTAAACTGTTTGCCTGTCTTGTTAGAGAACACATATAATAAAATTTCTTCCTCACTTCTTAGAAATAATATTTAACAGGCATAGTTCTATAAACAAGGATTTGCTTTTATTAAGTGTTTACGCTCTAGAGCTGTGATTTAGAGTCTTGTGTCAAATGTGTTCTGTAGAAAAGAAACTTTACACTTCTTGTTGGATGTGCCATGTATGGTTGCAACCAAGAATCCTGGCCAATGTGATTCATCAAAAACTACCAGAACCTCACAGTCCATGGGTAGAACTTAGCTGGAACCAAGCCAACTGTGGAAATTGGAATATGGTCTAATTTATAGAAGGAACCATCTGGTTAGAAGCCCATTATTTTCCAGAGAGGTTACATCTGATTGGCATGAGACTATCTAATGGGACAGAGGCAGTTCCTCAAAACGAAATCAGGGTAGGTAAGGAAGTGGATATGAAGCAACAAAGAAGAACATGTCTACTACGTCATGAAAAAATGAGTAATAACCAACATGAATGAAGTCTTATGTATTTTAGATATGCCAACAAAGACAAAGAGTTGCACTTCCAGAATGAAATAGTATTGCCAGTTGAATTCTGGAAACCATCTTTCCTAATGTTCTGCCCTTCAGACTGGTAACCAGTTTTTTTGTTTTTGTTTTTGTTTTGGTTTTGTTTTGTTTTTGAGACACTGTGTTGCTCTGTCACCCAGGCTGGAGTGCAGTGGCACGATCATAGCTCACTTGACCTCCTAGTTTCAAGTGATCCTCACATCTCAGCCCCCCAGAAAGGATGGGACTATAGGCGCAGGTTTCTACTTTATATCCCCATGCAGTTATCCTGTTTCCTTCCTTCCTTCCCTCTTTTCCTCCTTCCTTCTTCCTTCCCTCCCTCCCTCTTCTCTCTCTTTCTCTTTCTTCTTTCTTTCTTTCCTTCTTTCCTTCTTTCTTTTTTTTTTTCTTTTTCTTCTTTCTTTTTTGGAGATGGAGTCTCATTCTGTTGCCCAGGCTGGCATGCAATGGTGCAATCTCTGCTCACCGCAGCTTTCAGCCTTCCAAGAAGCTGGGATTACAGGCATGCGCCATGATGCCCAGGTAATGTTTGTATTTTCAGTAGAAATGGGGTTTCGCCATGTTGGCCAGACTAGTCTATAACTCCTGACCTCAGGTGATCCACCCACCTCAGCCCCTCAAAGTGCTGGATGTTCATTCAGAGGAAGTTTCCATACCCTTTGCAGTGGAGCCTACTAGTGGCCGTGGTCGCCGGCTCCGTGGCCAGCTACGGAGTGACAAGTGGAGACAGAAATGCAACAACCTCTGGCTCTTCCTGGAGACCCGGCAGCTCCCCAAAGATATGAGCACAGATCAGCAAAGCTGGGAGGGCTCCAGCTGGGCACAGACGTTGGGAGCAGGAGTCCTGGAACACAGCCTTCATGCCCCCCAGCCCCAGGCTGACCCTCCCCACACCCTAGGGTGTCCCAACCATATCTTCTGTCCGCATGCATGGCCAGGCCTAACCAGCCCCTGCAGACAGCTTCTGCCCCCACCTGGGACGCACCCAGGAGGCTGGAGCAGAAGGGGCTCTCCCTGGGTGGTGGTTCTCCTCCAGGTTATCGGGATGCATGGTCTGCACTGCCAGCAGAGAGGGTGTGTTTGGGAGCCCCCGCCTAGGGCTTGTGCACTTTGTCATTCCCTTTCTGGCCCCTTTACCTCCGACAAGTCCAAGGATTTTTTGTTTTGTTTTGTTTTTTTTGCTGCTCCAGTCAACCAAAGGGACACTTTATTGAGGCTCCAGGGCCATGGGGCCTGGGCAGGAGGCTGCCCTTCCAGGAAGGAAGAGGCTTATTCTTGGGGCGCAGGTTGTTGGTGTGGCCACACTTCTTGGGGCAGTTGACAGCACGGGTGCAGGTGAGCATAGCACTTGCGGCAGATCGTCTTGTCGCAGTTGTATTTCTGGGCAAGCTGGCGGAGGGAAGGCTCAATAATGCCACCTCGCAGGCGCAGCAGCAGGTGCAGGGTGGAGGACTCTTTCTGGATGTTGTAGTCAGAGTGTGCGGCCATCCTCTAGCTGTTTGCTAGAGGCAAATATCAGACGCTGCTGGTCAGGTGGGATACCCTCCTTGTCTGGGATTACAGTTATCCTGTTTCTATGCCACTATTTTCTGTTACTTAGATAATGTGATAACCTCCTAACTGGTCTCCTTGTCTCAAGTATGGATTCTCTCTCATCCATCTACACTGAAGCCAAGATGTTCTCAAACACAAATGTTTGTATGACTTCCTAGTGTAATTCCTTTTACTGTTTATGGGTAAAAGTCAGACTTTCTACACACTCTAGCCCCTCTTTAACTCTGCAGGCTCATTTCTCACCACTTCGTGAAGTTGAAATTTCATTCCTTTCAGCCAAAAATGTTGCCAGGATGCAGCCGGTGCCCCCAAGAACCTTCTGCCATAGCATTCCAGCTGGTGGTGGCTCTTAGAAGTGCTTCCTGTCTTGCTGAAGTCTGCATTCAGTGCACCTTGTGTTTGACAACATTACTCCAAGTGCAGATCAGTGATCTGCAAACTGAAGGTCTGTGACAAGGTAAGTATAGACGCTGAGAACTGATGTGTCATTTTATTTTTTAAAAACAACAGTAATGACTTGGAATTATTTTTTTAACTTACCAAAATTACTATAGAATTTGAGAAGCACTCTTCTGTGTTACCTGAAATATTTGTATCAATACTTGCTAAATTGCAATCTATTTTACTTTTCTATTTACCTTCCTATAGCTCCCTCTTCAATGAAAGGTCTATGATTTCAAGAGCAGTGCCTAGTTTTTAGTCATAGTCACAGCTATATCTGGTACCTACAGGACTTAAAAATGCTTTTTAGTGTGGGAAAATAATGTTTTAGAGAAGTAGTGGTAGAAAATATAAGTCAAGTCTATGGCTATCTCCAGCAACCATATCTGTACAAAACAAATCATTTTTCCCCAATCAGTTCAAATCAAATTTCTGCAGGATGAAGGAGGAGTCTGAGAATGCCTTTTGAGAAATAACAAATAATAAAAAAAATAAAATGCTTTTTGAGTGTTCCTACAGTTTTTGAGCAGGTGATAAATTTATGATACTATCTCCAGCAGGAAAAATGAATATATATACTATACAGTGTTTGCACACAATATCACAGGCCCCACCATAGGTAATTACAAAGGTTTAAGAACACATGCTCTAGATCAGTTCTTACAAAGGTTGAGAATACATACTGTAGTGACTATCAATATTTTTTGTCTTTGTATCACCTGATACTCTTGAGAGTATTGATGTTTCCAAGAATTTCCTGTGGGTTATATCTTCCAGTGTTTATCATATTATCAAACCTGAGACTATTTATTCATATATTTTGAGATGGAGTCTTGCTCTGTCACCACGCTGGAGTGTAGTGGCGTGATCTCGGCTCACTGCAACCTCCGACTCCTGGGTTCAAGCGATTCCCCTCAGCTTCCCGAGTAGCTGGGACTACAGGCATGTGCCACCATGCCTGGCTAGTTTTTTGTATTTTAGTAGAGACGGGGTTTCACCATCTTGGCCAGGATGGTCTCAATCTGACCTCATGATCCATCTGCTTCAGCCTCCCAAAGTGCTGGAATTACAGGTGTGAGCCACTGTGCCTGCCCTTAATTTTTTTTTTTTTACCTCACCTGGACAATGTGAAACCTGAGACCTTTTGAAAATAAGAATGTACAAGCACATATTCCATTATCTATAACCCTCAGAACAATGATGTGATCACATGTTATTTAGCCTCTGGAAAATCCCCTGAGCATCTTTCATTAAACATACTAATATTTCTACCTATGAAATTTCAAGGCTGATATTTTAAAGATTGACATTTTGGAGATGAAAAATTTCTTACATGGGTATGTATACACATACACATACATACACACACAAATGCGTAAAATTAGTCCCACATAAGGGGTGTGTGTGTATCAGTGTCACACAAAACCAGGCTAATTTTATGTTTATCAGTCATAATCATCTTCCTCATCTTCATCTTCCTCAGTTTCTTCATTCTCCTCAGCTGCGAGTAGAACTGCTTCTTGTGCGGCCCTGAAAGCCTGCTCCTCCTCCACACCAGGGTCATCCATTTCTGTAATTTCTGGTCCACTGGGGTATTCTTGATAAACTGGTGGTGGAACTGGGGGCGTATAATTGTCTGGACTATACTTATGACCCCAGCCTATGTAGAAATTTTCAAACTTTCTATAAGTTAAAAAAAAGATCATTATATAATTTCTCAGAAAAATTGACCCTTTTGTAATAATAAAGTGCTTTGAATATCATGATCCTATCATTTAAAAAAAGCAATACATGTAAAATGCTAGAAGTGAAATATTCCTCAATGATTCTACCACAGGGAATTATTTTGATGCAAATTGTTTTTAAAAATCGTGGGGCCAGACACTGTTAAAATGTACCCTACACCTAGACCACAAGCAAAAGCCTTTGTCCCTTCAGTTATTTTCAGGAAAAAAAAAGTTACTACCTTCCACAACGTTAGAAAGATTTAAAAATAGCTAACCCTACAAACTCTTGGCTGGGCAAGGAGTTGGGCTTGTGGTTAGAAACCTATGTGTTATTTTTTTAGGCAGGACCGTAGGCAATCACAAAGGGTTTACCTGGCACACCAGACTTGCAGTACAACCAGTGCATTGCTGTCTTTATGGGTAGTTGCAGTCATGCTTTTCAAAGTTTGCATTACTAGACCAGATGCTTTCATTTCTAGGTCTCTATCTGAAGCCTTCAGCAGAGCCCTTTCCAGCCCTTCCTTTCTCTGCCCTCTGAACTCAGCACTTTTTCACTTTCAGCCCTCTCATCCTCCTCTTGGTCTCCAGGCCTGTAAAACTGCAGGAGCTGTTTGAGGATTCCCTTGTCAATGAGATGACCCCAGGATCTCCATATCTATGATATCCACATCTGTGCCGATCCACCTGGCCCTCCACTGGTGGGCCATTCCATGGGGGAAAATGGAACAGGGGGATGTCAATGCTTTCTCTTGCTTGTACTATCACAGTAAATGATTAAAGGCTTAACTCTCATTTTTAGCTTGTTACTTTAATGGCTACTCTAACACCTGACAGCTCAGCTTTCTCTCCAGATAAGCTAAGTTTCTGACACTGGGTTATTAGGAAAGAAATGGAAACATAAGACAAATAGAAGTATATGTTCTAGGTGAGGGATAAATTATTTTTAGTATCCTCTTGATCTTAATTCCTTTGAAAGCAGTAGCCTAAATAAAGCATATTTTAATTATCTTTATCAAGCTATCCAACAAAAATGATCTGAGATTTAAACTAATTTAAACACTGCTTAGAATTACCTCCATTGATCCACTAAGTGAATAAGTCATTACCCAAATAATCATAAATGAAAAACCATATTTTATTTCAACAAATTAGATAATTAAAATGAAAGGGCAGAAGTCTGAATTACTCTATAATGCCCTGAATTTGATGTTTTATTGTGTAACACAGATGTTATTTTAATAAATTTTATGCCACACATACATAATATACCCCAAATAAGCTAAAACTATAGTAGCTTAACATTTTAGTGATTATTTATAATTTCCAGAGCTTAAATAATCACAGAAATGGCTTCGTAAATGGTCAGATACTTACTTCCCATTGGAGAAGGCATATGCTCCAGGCCAAAGGTTGGATTGAAGGACAGCAATAGCATATTGTGGAATGAGATTTGACGATAGCCGTGTTGTCCAAGGGGGTATATTCTGAATCTCTGGATCCCAAAGAGAAATGCAAAAGCTTAATTCCTAACTAGACAAGAATCTACTGTGTAAGCTATTTTTATAAATCCACACATACATGCACACACAGAGATACACACATATTGGATATAGAAAGAAAAAACATCAGCTTAACAAAATCAGGAGAGTACTCATGAATGTTTTGGAACAATGAAATTTGAACATATAGTTCCATTTTTGCAACCAACACAAGAAGTTTTATTAAAGGAGAGGAGACTTATGTGGCAGAGTGAGTAATATTTGATGGTCTGATGAAAAGTACATCATTATTATGAATGAGATCAAGGGTTGCAAGCGCAAATACTCCAAAACTGAAGGGAAAGAAACAAGAGTACAGGAATGAGAGCAGCGTTTTTAAAAACCAGGACCAAGAATATTTAATTGTGCCATTTGTTTATGGTTTGCAGAATGCAAGACAAGAATAATATAGGAGAAAGAGCTACAGTCAACTTATGTTTCTTCTCTGCACCATTCCTTCAACCTCTGTCAGAGAACATTGATGTGGCCAGCTACAGTCTTTGCTCTCTATCATCCCAGAACACAAATGTGAAGAGGATGCAACCTTGGCTCCTGTCCACTTTTTACAGCTTTCCAACTCTCATTTTTACTATATAATGCACATAGTATGTTATACTGTTTGTGTGTCTGTGTGTGATAATAGTTACGTAAAATAACCTAAATCTTCAGAGATTGGTGTCAAAAGAGGAGGCCCCACTTCCTGTTCTATGTAGTCAGGCTCTTCTTTTTCTTCATCTTCTTCCTCTTCTTCTTCCTCATTTTTTTGTACGGAGTTGAACCAGTTACAGCGACCCTGGGAATCAGTGATGTAAGATTTAGTAGGCTAAAGAGGATCTTAAAATTGCATAATATTCATTTGAATTCAAGCGATTATCAGGATGAGGTTTCACTCTGTGGGAATTTATTATTCATTCATTCATTCTACATGCATTTTCCAAGGGCTATTTTGATCTAGGTTGTTTCAAGGAAAAGACTATGCTATTTATTTTAAGAATTTGCCAAATTCTTGAAGTCACAGAATGTGTATTTTAAAATTATATTTAAAAATTAGCAGAACCTTAGTGAAAAAGGTAAGAGTGTATTTTACTGGTTTGTGGTAAATAACTTATGTGAGAGAGCTAAAGCTATTATGATGACTATTATTTAACATTTAAATGACTTTTATAACTATTATTTTTTATGGAGGTTTAGGGTTTATAATTTCTCATTTTGCTAACACTTATGTAGAAAAATCTAAGAGTATCTCTTATCTAGGTCAAAGTTTAATGAGGATTTTCTACCTGCAGATGAGGTAGTATAGCACCGGGGTTAAGTGGATGCATTGGGTCCATTCTGTGCAGACTCACATCTGATTCTGTTCCTTATTAGCTATATTCCTTTTGTCACATTTCCTCAACTCTGTTTCAATTTCCTCATCTGCAAATTGAGGATAATAATACTACTTCATAGGGTTGTTATGAAGATTAAATATACACACACACAAACATACACACATCTAGCACAATAGGTGTTATATAACTACTATATAGCACTGTTTCCTTGTTTTATGTTTTTGTTATAATCCCTTATGTTCTTGGCATAAAAGCTACATGTATTATAGAAATAAAATTAAGGAACAGTTTTCAAAATTAATGTACCATCCATATTAAACATATAAAAAACTGAGTAATTTCAGAACACACAAATCCAAATCTGTACGTCATCTGTCAAACAGTCCACAAAAGAATGTGCTTTATTTTCTATTTGAAAATAAAGTCTGTTTGGAGATCCCTGGAACCCTCAATTACATAGACAATTATATAGACCCTGGTAGTTATAGATTACTCTGTGTTTTGGGCTGTGGTTCTTTCTTTTCTCTCTTTCTTTCTTTCTCTTTTTCTCTCCCTTCCTTCCTTCCTTCCTTCCTTCCTTCCTTCCTTCCTTCCTTCCTTCCTTCCTTCCTTCCTTCCTTCCTTTCTTTCTTTCTCTTTTCTCTCTTTCTTTCTTTCTTTTAGATGAAGTCTCGCTATGTCACCAGGCTGGAGTGCAGTGGCGCAATCTCAGCTCACTGCAACCTCTGTCTCCTGGGTTCAAGCAATTCTCTTGTCTCAGCCTCCCGAGTACCTGGAATTACAGGTGTCTGCCACCACACCCAGCTAATTTTTGTATTTTTAGTAGAGATGGGGTTTCACCATGTTGGCCAGGATGGTCTTGATCTCCTGACTTCATGATCTACCCGCCTCAGCCTCCCAAAGTGCTGGGATTACAGGCGTAAGCCACTGTGCCTGGCTGGCTGTATTTTTAATGATCTCATTTTCTGCCTATTAAATAGAACCTAAAGGCCCTTACTTTATATGTCTTTGTGCATTCTAGTGACAATTTAGTGAATAATTGCTAATTGCCTGATAGACTGAGAATTGCAAAGTCCTTACCTGAGAGAGAATATGCTGTACATGATGAACCCAATTAGATAAGGTTTCTACTAGATCAATCACTTGGATGCCTTCAAAATCAGGGTTTTCCTCAAAGCTATTTTGGCTGCCTTCTACCTCTTCCTCCTCCTCTCCTTCCTCTTCGCCGAACTGATAGAATCCTAGAGGACTGACGTGGGTTCCTGCTGAAATTCGGGCAATTTGCGCTCGTAAATAATTACTCTCATTTCCTGGGAAAGGTGGGTAGCTTATGATGGGAGCATCCAATCGCCCAGTGAAAAATTTCTTGATTTTTCTTGCAATAACAATTTGTGCAGGTGTAACTGGTGGTAACTTTACCCATGGTCTTCCTGGTTCATTACAAACAAAATAGACATATTTGTTGGCACCTGTTCTACTTTCTTCTTTTGGTATAGCCTGTGGGGCCTTGTAAAGGGACTTTGGTAATTCATCTTCCTCATCTTCATCAGCTTCACTTTCTCTATTGTCCCTCTCTTCATCTACATCTTCCTCTTCCACTTCCTCTTCATCTTCCCCCTCACGAAATTCCACTTCAGCTACAATATAATTCATTTCCAGACCCAAGATCTTTCCCCAGAAGCGGCATCTTTGGATTGGGTGGGTGTCAGTAAGCTGCTTGAGGGCAAGAAATATGCGGTATGTCTCATCTGTGCCCAAACCAACTCCAGCTTGTTCAAAATAAAAAGCTGACTCCATTACATTTGGAAGAGCATTTTCCACCTGGGGAAACAAATGCTGTGGTTAAAATTTATCAATAAGACAAATCCTCACCTCCCTTGTCTTTTTTATATATCTTGATATTCTACTTCCTCCACCATTTCCTTGACATTTCTCTCAAGATTTAGATCAAATTGGCTGAGCACAGTAGTTCATGCCTGTAATCCAGCACTTTGGGAGGCTGAGGTGGGTGGATCACCTGAGGTCAGGAGTTCAAGACCAGCCTGGCCAACATGGTAAGACTCTGTCTCTACTAAAAATACAAAAATTAGCCAGGCATGGTGGTGTATGCCTGAGTCCCAGCTACTTGGGAGGCTGAGGCAGGAGGATCACTTGAACCCAGAGGCAGAGGTTGCAGTGAGCCAAGATCATACCACTGCATTCCAACCTAGGCAACAGATCGAGACTACACCACACACACACAAAAAAAAAAAAAAAACCAAAAGAGAGATTTAGATCAAACTATGATAATTCTTGAATTTCTATTCTTATCTCATTATTTAGAAATATAGCTTCTCTTATATCTTATACTTATTAATATATAATAGCTACCTTGTTTATATGTATATCTTAGGTAGAGAAAGTTTAGTAATTACTACGAATAATAAAAATTCAAAATTCCTGTTTTATAAAAAAATATTTAAGTGACTCCCTTACTATCGTAAAATAAGATGTAGAATAACTATGTACATGCATATTAAAATCTGGTTTTACATATGTCTATATTACTATATATTTTAAAATAATAAACATTAAGTACATGGTTTTATATATATAGGATCACTAAAAATTAATATAATATCCTGTATAATGTAATGTATGGAATAAATAAACATACAATAAGGTGCTTATGTCTATACTGGAAGACATAGTATAGTCAGATGCTTCCTCCTACTTATAACAAATTATTTTGAATTTATAATAATAAAGAGAAAAATAAAAAAATCTACAAAAGAAATCCAGAGAAATGAATAAGCAGAGTCTCAAATGGACCACAGAAAAACATTTGTGAAAATGTAGGGAAGAACTTTAACTGTAAGTCAGGATAACTTGCAAGGCAAATCTTGATCTTCAAGATGAAGAAATTGAGAGCTTTGCTATTCTTACAAATGATATGCTCTTATTTATATTATAATTGTAGTGTCAAAATAAGTATAATGACTTTTTAAAATCCTCATCTCTTTGATGTAGGATTGTAAAACTCTTTCCTTGGCATTGCTCTTCCACTCACTCTTGATTCTACTTGGGCCTCTAGAACTATTTTATCTTAAGTCTCTTTGATTGGTTCCTTATTTCTTGAGCTGCAAATGTTGTGATGTTTTTAAAATATCTGTTTCAGTTACCACATCACTCAATACTTTATGCGTGGAAGAGTTCTCCACATCACTTCAAGTGATAGGTGGTTGTTTAAAATTTCTCCAACTCTGACTTTTCTCCCATATTCTACACATATTTCTAGCCACCTATGAGAAATATCACTTGAGTATTCTACACATACCTCTAATATTTAATTCACATTTCTCTCAAAGATTTCTCTTTTTTCTATATACTCCTTCTTCACCAGTGACATCTCAGTTTCTCACACCAGAAAGTTCGGTCATCCTTGCTTCCTCTGATTCCCTTGACCTTTCATATTTAAATAGTTAGATTCCTATTGATTCTAGCACATAACATGTGTTGGCATTATTTGCTTCTCTTATATTCAGTTATACTCTATTAACCACCATCCTCACTACTTATGCTACAGCAGAAAGCTTCCAATGCTCTCTTCCCTGCCCCATTCTATCTTTCTTTTCTGGTTATTTTTCTTTCCTTTTTTTTTTTTTTTAAAAAAAAATGGGGTTTTACCATGTTGGCCGGGCTGGTCTCGAACTTCTGACCACAGATGATCCACCCACCTCGGCCTCCCAAAGTGCTGGGATTACAGGCATGAGCCACCGCACCTGGCTCTTTTTTGGTTATTTTTCATGTTATGATCAGAGTTATCTTTTTAGACCAAAAGTCAGACCATGCTATTCTCCGCTATTAAAAAACTTCTCACTATTTACAAGAAAGAAATTAATTATCAATGTACAAAGAGTCTCTAAGAGTCTTCACCTAGTGAACTCCTGCTTATCCTTCATGGCCCAAATGAAATATTGCCTCCACTAAAATGCCTTGCCCAATTACCAATAGCAGAGTTAGTCGTTCCATTGTCATTTATCATGTTGTCAAAACAATGTACTAATAATTGCTACTATTAAGTTCCTATTATAGGCCAAATCCTTTATATATACTACCTCTACTCCTCAGGTTTTTGCCATTTGATTATCCTTAAGGCTTGGAAAGTTTTGCCTCTTGCTCAAAATCACACAACTAGTAAGCTAGTTGAACTAGGATTCTAATTCAGATCTGGCTACCTCCAAAGACCATGTTAACTCCATCATATGAGGCTATCTCTTTATTGCACGAATCAAATGGCTTTTCAGTCTTTTTTTGCCTTTCTCTAAACTGTAAGCAACTTAAAGTCAGAAAAGTCTTTTTCACATGTATATCTCAGTACTTGGTATACAATAGTCACATTGTATATGAGTAAATGAGTAAATGAATAAATGAATGCTGAAGACTAAGCAAATAAATTCTGGTGTGGTCAAAGGCAGGAATAATAACATGAACACTATAAACATATAAGTCAGAGAAAGGCTTGGTCATATAACTTATATTTCAATGCTTCAGAGACCTCTCTACCTCTTCCTGCATCTTTCTACTCTCTGAGGTGGAGCTTTTAATCTTCACCTGATGACTCAGCTGTTCCAGGCTCTAAAGCCAATCTTATCCCTTATTAGGAAGACTTATAGAAACTAGTTAAAGGGCCCAGGTCCCAGGATCAAAACAGCTTATTTGTATTCTTACCCCATATCCTAGTTTTGGGATGTAAAGCCCTACCTTGTAATGCTGTGCCTATAAAGAGCACCCATTCTTACCCTGGAGTCTGAACTTTCTTTGACTAACTCCTGCATGGGAATGCCTGCCTATTTGCCTCATCTCCATATGCTGTTTGCTCCCAGATGCCTCATCACTGGATATGGCTACATAACCAAATGCCAACCTTGTTGAAACTCTCTGATGTCAACTCCTTGACACCTATTGCCTGTTCCTTCCGTATGAGTACTATGGATCTCACTGCATCAATTGGGTCTCTCCTCATAGGCTGCTTAGCCTAGAGAGAGCATCTACTGTCTCTCTTATCTTTTCCCTGTCAGAAAGCTGTTTTGAAAATACCTTACTTCAAACATCAAATTTGAAAGTATACAGACACATCTTAAATCTAGTGGTAACAGAACATAAGTTCAGCAGATGCGTATAAATTACAAGTATATGAGTATTTAGGAAACAGAATAGTCAATACTATTTTGAAATATTAAGAGTTAAAATTTCTGTGAGGTACAAGATTCTGTTCTCTAATTATAGCTTTTTTCCCCTCTGTCACCAACTTTTTCTCTAAATGTTTTAAACGTTTTATCTATGAAGATTAAAAGTATTTTACTCCTCTCCTCTTGTATAATATCCCACTGACATAATATCAAGTCATAATATGAGGAGCTTGTCTTAGAAGAAAATACAAAAGACATTAGAAGTACTTTTAAACTTTCTAATAAAGGGGAAAATATGCAACTTGATTTAAAATCTGATTTTTAAAATCTAACATTTATTCATGATTCAAAGAATGTTGCATAAAAAATAGCTATCATCTAGATCTGTACCAGGCACCTTGGAGAATATAAAATGTGAAGAAATTTTGTTCTGTAATCTCAAGAAGCTTAGCATACAAACATATAACAATCTGTTAGAGCTTGTAGAATACTAAAAGACATATGAAAATACAGGACATTCCTAATCAAGGAAATGAGTAGTATGAAATGAGGTTGATTAAAAAAGTCTTGAAGATATTTTTAAAAAATAAGATGTGAATACTATGTAAGAAGCTATAAGGGCCAAGTACAGTGGCTTATGTTTGGAAATCCCAACACTTTGGGAGGCCAAGGCAGATGGATCACTTGAGATCAGGAATTTGAGACTAGCCTGGCCAATATGGCAAAACCTCATCTCTGCTAAAACTACAAAAATTAGCTGGGCATGGTGGTGCCTGCCTGAAGTCTCAACTACTCAGGAGGCTGAGGCAGGAGAGTCACTTGACCCTGAGAGGCAGAGGCTGCAGTGAGCCAAGATCACACCATTGCACTCCAGCCTGGGTGCCTGTCTCAAAAAAAAAAAAAAAAAAAAAAAAAAGGCTATAAAACACAGTTGGCATAAATTATACAGATTTAAAGCCACAGCCATTTGTCCCAAATAGAATCCTAACATTTAATTATTAAAATTTATAGTCGTGACTTACTATTTCATCTTCTAATTCTTGGTCAACTCCTTCCAAATGTACCTGGAGAAAAAGAGCCTTTTGCTTTTCTGCTATTTCATATGTTGGAAGCATCTCATTCTCATTTTGAAGTGCATCAAATTTTTTACTAAAATGTGCCATCTTCACATCTTGGCTAATATTTTCAATGATGTCAACAGCATTTTCAGGACGCTCATCTAATATCTTGGTCAACATATTAGAAAGATGATCATATCTATCCAAACAGAGAAAATTCCAGATAATATACATATCAAGAGCATTTGAAGAAGCATTTTATGTAGACTCAGTTAGTTTGTTTTTAGGGAACTTCAATAACTTGAAGTCTTCAGAGATTTTCAGAGGATAAACACTTAGGTAATTTCTACTATGCCAGAAATAACCTATCCAAGAGTTTTCCTTAGGAAATGATTCCAGTATGATAAGGATGTTTAAGATATTAAAGAAAAACATTTAGAGCCCTATCAGGTACATTTTCACATTTTATTTCTGAAATTACAATCTTTTGGTTATATATTTTAAAGTGATTAACATTATTTTTCACCCTTATACAATAACTTCTTTTCCATTCCCCTTCCCCTGCCTTCACCAAATCCAATTTGATTTCTAATCCTGTTGATTCCATCTTTAAGATCTGTTTTCTTCCTTTCCATTCTATTTTTAAAGACAATTGTATACTTCAGTGTTTCTCAGATCATTTTGCATTTAATATTGTAACATCTACTTACATACAACAAAAAAGTGCCATTAAATATTACTTACCTATATTGAAATGTGACACACTCTGTTTTGTTCTATTCTATTAGAAACACTGCCCTAGCATTTTATTTCACAAGTGAATGAATGAAATTGCCTCTATCCTCTCAGTAATTCATTACATTTTATATATAACTGCTAGTGTTTAATTTTTCAAATACCAAAATTACAAAGTGAATTTACTATTTAAGAGGGCAAAATGCCTGTCAAAATGCTCCTGTGTCCTGTCAAAGTGCTCTTTTCTTAAGGAGAAATTCCTCTGTTCAATGTGGAAATTTGCATAAATTGCTTCTCTGGTGGATACATATCAGATCTCTCCAACTTTGTTTCTAATTATTAGTTCAATTAGACTGCCTAATAAAAATTATTTTCATATATTTGCTAAGTTCTACCTGGGAGCTTTTGCTTGCTGTGAAGCATATATATAATTTCTCTCAAAAAATAATTTAAAACTCTTTTCATTCTTAGGGACTTAGCATTCAAATTATTTCCCAAAATCATCCTTCCCCAGTTCAGAGGAGTTCTTTCTGAGAACACTGATATGCTGCTCTGAAATTTTATACATCATATATTTCCTATTCAGCAACTGTATTAGGTTCTTCATAGCCAAGATTAGGGCTTTATATATATCCTCTCTTATTATAGTGAAACAAATACATAGATGTTCAATAATTGCCTACTTTCTATTAATTGACCTAAGCTATATTTTTTGTTTTTTTCTTTTTCATTTAATGTCTATATTTATCTAACAACCTCAGAAATGGCAAAAACAATATGTAGATGATATGGGAAATCAACATAAAGGGCAGTCAAAATATTATACAGTATATGAAGAATATATAATTTTTTCCTCAAATAATTCTTTTAAATAAACAGAAATGTTTTAACTAGGAGTTTCTTTAAAACTTATCAAACTTCCTTAATATTCATGCACTGTTGAAACTCATGGAGAAGGCCAGGCGCAGTGGCTCATGCCTTTAATCCCAGCACTTTGGGAGGCTGAGGTTGGTGGACCACCTGAGGTCAGGAGTTTGAGACCAGCCTGGGCAACATGGTGAAACTCCATTTCTATTAAAAAAAAAACAACAAAAATTAGCCAGGCGTGGTGGCAGGGACCTGTAATCTCAGCTTCTCAAGACGCTGAGGCAGGAGAATCACTTGAATCCAGGAGGCGAAAGTTGCAGTAAGCAGAGATCGTGCCACTGCACTTTAGCATGGGTGACAAAGTGAGACTCGATCTCAAAAAGAAAAGAAAAGGAAAACTCATGGAGAAGACTCCAGACTAAAAACACTACTGGTTATCAGGCAGTAGCTGGGTTAATAATAAAAGGGATTGATTTGCTTCAATAGCGGCTGTGGATGGTATCAAATCAGGGACTCTATGTCCAAATTTTCATTTCATTTTTCAGGTTTCAATATAACAAATATATGTGTTTTCTTCAAGTATACGTTCCAAATTATGAAATGTTTATTATGCTTTAATTTATAATTATAGTTTCTATTAGGGATGATTAATAATTTATTTTTTTAAATGGAAGTAAAGGAGGAGGCAATTCTTTCCTATAGCCTTTTAGTTCAATGATGAAAAATCATTTTCAGATTACATATTTCAGTCAAAGATTGTTTTAGTTGCCATGAAATACAGCTTTTATGGCTGTCAAATCAGATCTGCATATAAGAAATGGAGTTAAAATCATCCTTTACTAAGCAATTTTAAACTTCAGGCACTAAAGTACTTAGAGGATAACAGTGAATATTAGGAAAATATTCACTTATTACCTCAGAGACATCGTTTGGAAATAAAATTATATTTAGATATTTAAGTAATATTAATTATAAAATAATTCAATAAAGAAAAATTTCTTGTGCTTTTGCATTCAGTTTTAAATTGTTAGTGAACTCACAAGTATTTGTAATGTGTTCCTTTGCAATTTTAACAGTTTGTAAATTCATGCTTCTTATCTAACACAGGGCATTATGACAAGAAGTTTATACCAGAAATTCAAGTAGAGCCTACTACTGGGTAGCAAATTACATTCTTGAAACTTAGGAAAATTGTAGTTTAAAATATTAACTAATAATATTTCAAACTGATCGCAGATTTCATGAGATTTGTCACATCAATTTTTTATTCATTAGACTTTAAAATTATATTTCACATATCTTAAAGCCTTGTGGTAGCTGCAAATATTTGCCACATTGTATATACAGTAGGTATTTAATTAATATTTACTGATTAATTAGGAAGCACCCCAATAGATTATGGTGAGAACTTGGGAATTATGATTTATATACACTGGTTTTCATCCACAGTTTCTGACTCGTAAGTCCCAGACCTCTTTTCATTTCTCCCCAACATAGGCCTTAGAAACGAAAAACATACTCAATTTTTCTCCATGCCTGGCCATAATGAAATTCTCTGAGCTACTTTTTCCGAATGAACGTCATAAGACCCCGATTTCAAAAGAGGTTTTGCCCCATATCAAGGAGGAAAGAATGCTCCACAGAGATGCCAAGAAAATCTGGATGGGCCTTGCTGGGTTTCCCCACTCAGCATTAGATTATACCCCTGTAAGTCACATTTCTGCACAGTCATCAATCATGCCTATCCAATAACATCTCCATAAAAAGCCCAAGAAAACAGGTTTAGGGAACATTAGGATGGCTGAACACATGGAGATTGCTGGAAGGTGGCTTTCCCAGACAAGGCATGGAAGCTTTGCACTCCTTCCCCAATATCCTGCTCTGTATACTTCTTTATATGTATCCTTTGTAATATCCTTTATAATAAACCAGTAAACGTTAGTGTTTCCCTGAGTTCTGTGAGCCACTCCAGCAAATTAAACCCAAGGAGGAGCTATGGGATCCCTAATTTATAGCTGGTCGGTCAGAAGCACAGGTTAATCAGCCTGGTGCTTATGATTGGCATTGGAAGTGTGGAGCAGTCTTGTAGGATTGAGCCCTCAACCTGTGTGATCTAATGCTATCTCAAGGTGGATATGTCGGAATTGAATTGGAGAACACCTAGTTGGTGCTCACTGCAGAAGTGATTGCTTCCTTGTGGATGGGAAAACAGAACCCCAAACGTTTCATCACAGAAGTCTTCTGTGTGGAGGCTGGGCGCGGTGGCTCACACGTGTAATCCCAGTTACTTGGGAGGCTGAGATAGAAGAATCCCTTGAACCTGGGAGGCAGAGGCTGCAGTGAGCCAAGATCGTGCCACTACACTCCAGCCTGGGCGACAGAGCAGACTCTATCTAAAAACAAAGACAAAATCACCACCACCAACAACAACAAAAATAAGTCTTCCATGTTGATTGTTGTAGAGTGAGAGAATAGAAAAAGCATTAATTTATTCTTACTCAATTAATAGTTGCTAGTAGCTGGGCGTAGTGGCTCACGCCTGTAATCCAAGCACTTTGGAGGCCAAGGTGGGCAGATCACCTGAGGTCGGGAGTTCAAGACCAGCCTGACCAACATGGTGAAACCCCATCTTAAAAAAAAAAAAAATAGTTGCTAGGATTGTGGTAGGCACTAAGTATATAGTGGTATACAAAATTCAGAGTCCCTGCTCTCTACGGGCCTGCAATCTAGTGGGAGAGTCAGATATTAAAATACAAGTCTATCTATCTCTCTGTGTACAAACTTATAAATGACATTAAATGCTATGAAGGAAAAGAATAAGCTTTTTAGTAGTGGTCTGTGGAAGTCGAGTTCCGAAGAATGAGGAGCCAGCCACCGGGCAAAGACTTAGAAAAGAAGACTTCTGGGCAGAGGGAACAGCCATGGGGCTGCATCTTAGTGATGGAGGGAGAGGTAAGAGTCGGTAAGTGTTGTGAGCCACTGGAATCTTGAGCAAATTAGGTTCTCCATGACTTGGTCTCCTCATTTAAAAAAACAAATGAGTTGTATTAGATGATTTCCAAAATCCCTTTTAGCCCTAAAATTCTATTTACCCTATGATTAACTCTGGAAGCAAAAATCAATAGAAATCTATACTTGTCACAAGTTCTAAAATTAAAGCTATAATGGGATGGGCAGAACATACATAAGACTATTGATCATCACATTTTAAGAGACGTGGATAAAATGGCATGTGTTGCAGGTGGCTTGTGTAGTGACCAATTCTCCCAGTTTGCGAGGACTAAGGGGTTTCTTAGCATAAAGAACTTTCAGTGCTCAGCCTAACTGAGATGGTGGTCACCCTATCACTGGCTGGGTTGGGAACTCAAAAGCCATGCAAGCACTAGAATCTACAAATTAGAGGCGTGATTACTTTCACTGGTAGACAATTATTTTTCACAAGCATTCTGGAGAGATGCTGGGACTTTATGTTCTTCATGGTCTCTTTCAAGCCTGAGACTCCATAATTCCTAAGCTTTCATTTTTGTGTGCCTAGGGTCTTTAAAGAAGCTAGAAGAAAAAGAAAAGAAAAAAAAGGTTAAGAAAAAGAAGATATAAAAATCTCCATTAATGACCTGAGTCATGTGATCCAAAGAGTTATGTCATTAACTCTCTTTTACTACTACACTCTTTTCAAATGTATTTTGATTCATCTACAGAAACACACTCTCACACAGAGATATTCACACACCCTCTTGCTTTGCCAAACTTTTCTCTTTTGTCTAAGACTTACAGATTTAAGCCCGACTTGCTACTAGTCTTCAGCAGGTAAGCCTTAGCATTCTGAACGGTGGTCTCAAGCATGCTGGGGGCCACTTCAGAGCCACCGGTCGCAGGCTGGTGTAAATCATAGTCACTGTTTGAGTCTTCCTCCTGAAAAACGTCAAATCTCAGCTCTTTCTGATTAGCGTTTTTATAGCTCACAGCCCTTGGTCCACACAGGTGGGGTTGCTGAGACTGTTGAAAGGTGTTTCCGTCTGATTGGTTTGTGTGATGAGTTGATTCTCTTTTATCAGATGATTGTTCCAAAGGATCAGGATCAGGTGTCCCGGCTTCAGGAATCACACTAGTGGTCCTGTCTGACTGAGGTGGTGCCCCGAGGTCTTGTATGGCCGGAGCCAGGGGAGAAGGAGTGGAAGAGGACTCCCGCGGAGAGAGAGGAGCAGGTGATGATGTTTCTGGTCCCGCGGAACCACCCAGAGAAGTCCTGGCTCCAGACTGGGGGCTCCAATAACGGCTGCTTCTGGACTGGCGTCCAGTTTCTAGCCCCTGCTTAGCCTCCAAGGGCTCAAACGACGCAGGCTCAGAATACTGGGGAGAAGCTGCTGTCTTTACATCCCAAGACCGCCTTGCTTCCCCTAGTTCCTGGTTTTCTTTTTCTTGCTTCGGGGATGTTGACTCTTCCATGGAAGGAGTTCGAGAAGCAATGTTCTGGATGAAGAAGGAGTGAAAATATGGAAGAAGGCAATTCAGTTCAGTTACTTTGCCTCGGTCGCTTAAGCAATTTCTGGGTCCTGGTTGCTCTGTAAGTTGCGGCGTCCTATCTCCATAGCAACACCAGGCCGGGTTCCTCTAAGAAAAACAAAGCACGCCTGTTGCCAGGATTCGAAGGCGGAGAGTAAGAGAGAGATGAAAATCCTAGCTTTGTGATTCGGTGTAACCCCTGTCCCTCGTTCTATCACAGCCAATCCGACCTAGACCAGTCTTGCTTGGAAAGCCGAGAACTCCTGGTCCCATGCCATGAGTTCAAAGTACGAAGAATGGCGACCACATGCGACAGACCTTTAGGGGTCTGAGACTTTGATCCAAGTTGTGCTGTGAGGAGCGAGTCGTGCGTTGGTGGAGGGACAGTGTCTTCAGGGAGCGCGTGCGCACGTGTGTGTGAGTCTGTGTGTGTGTGTGTGTGTGTGTGTGTGTGTGTGTGTGAGAGAGAGAGAGAGAGAGAGAGAGAGAGAGAGAGAGAGAGAGAGAGAGAGAGAGAGAAGGGAGTGAGGGAGGTAGGGAGGGAGGAAGAGCCCGACCTTGGTAATCTTGGAGGTGCAGGTGACCATGGGACCCCAGTGTGCTGACCAGGAGAGCCCAAGCCTCACATTTAGCGTGCATCAGCTACAACCAACCAACTCTAAAGACTTGGAAAATAGACAAAGCAGTCCTGAGTTTTGTTCTTCCCGCTTATAAGGAATCTCCTAATGATTGGGCAGAATATTATCCTTGAGGAGAAGGCAATGCAGAAAACTCATAAATAGGCAATTCATGGGTTAACTGCTTTCAAATAATTGAAATTCAAATGAACACTATATTGGCATAATGCAATTTTTATTTAATAATGTAAATGTAAATTCATAATTTTACAATGATTTAAAGTCAGGATTATGACCATTCATTTATAGTAGGTATATATAGGCAATCTCCAATATGAAGAAGGTATAGAAGTTGGAAAATATCTGAACTTAACTATAAACCATACATTAATTAAAGTCTTTATGTTAATTGTTTTGTATTTTTCTCTTTTTTCTATTATACTTTAAGTTCTGGGGTATATGTGCAAAACATGCAGGTTTGTCTTTCTCTTTTAAAATGTACCAATAAATACTTGGCATTTGACAGTTACATTGATGTAACTTCTATTTAGCAAGATGTTGCTCTAAATTCTAACTTCATGGAAGAACATAATACTCCTCCATTCAGTGTGGGGAGGGAATCGCAGATTAAAATAATTTGATAAAAGCTGTGTGCGCACACACAAAATGTTGAATACAACTTCTGCTGGTACAGACTCTTTAAAGTCAGACATCTGGGATTTAGAATGCTTGGATTTCTAAAAACAAAAGATTAAGATAAACGAGAACAATAAATTCTGTTTTTTTTTTGTGGGTTTCTTCGGTAATTAGTGCAAGAGTTGAAGAAGTTAGTATTTTTTCCCCCTTCATTTCTCCCTTGCAGCTGGCAAGCTATGATGGAGGTTTTACTTTGGGGGCATGGTGGCTCATGCCTCTAATCCCAGAACTTTGGGAGGCCGAGGCAGGTGAATCACCTGAGGTCAGGAGTTTGAGACCAGCCTGGGCAACATGGCGAAAACCCTGTCTCAACAAAAATACAAAAATTAGCCAGGCATTATGGCAGGTGCCTCTAGTCCCAGCTACTCAGGAGGCTGAGGCAGGAGAATCACTTGAACCCGGGAGGCAGAGGTTGCAGTGAGCCAAGATCATGCCATGGCACTGCACTACAGCCTGGGCAACAAAGCAAGACTGTCTTAAAACAAACAAACAAACAAACAAAAAAACAACAACAGACAGACAAACCAGAGAAAGGAACAACATAAGTGTTTGTTACTATTCCTGCTTCATTTTCAGTCCAGAGTCTTATCTCGACTTTGACTCTAGTAATCCTAAATTTGCTTCTTACTGTTCTTAGGATAAAGACGAAAACTCTTTAGCCTATTTATGTTCTCAGTTTTGTACTAAGCTTCATATTAATGTTGGTCTCATAAAATGGGTTACTAAGTGTTTCTTCCTTTTCTGTTTTCCGGAATAGATTATGTAGAACTGGTGTCATTTATTTAAATGTTTAGTAAAATGAGTTTGGAGACTTCTATGTCAGGAAGTTTTTAAACTGCAAATTCACAATTTTAAATTGTTACAGGACTCTTCAGACAATCTCATCTTGGATGCATATTGATAGTTTGCAATTTTAAAGGATTTTATGCATTTCTTCCAAGTTGTTGAACTTACGTTTGCAGAGTTCTTTGTAGTATTCCCTTCTTATCCTTTTAATGTTTGTGGGGTCTGTAGTAATATCTTCTCTTCCATTCTTGATTTTGATAATTTGCCATCTTTTTTTTTTTTTTGTCTCATTGGAGGTTTATCATTCTTATTGGACACTTAAAATTAGCTTTGGCCATTGTTTTTGTTTTCAGTCTCATTGATTTCACTTCTCATTTGTTTGCTTCTCTTTATTTTGTATTTATTTTGCTCTTCTTTTGCTAGTGTCTTGAAGCAGAAGCTTGGATTATTGATTTGAGATTTCTTTTTTTTTTTTATATATATATAAGTGTCTAGTGTTTTTTTGTTTTCGTTTTTTTTTTTGAGACACAGTTGCACTCTGTCACCCAGGCTGGAGTACAGTAGCATGATCCTGGCTCACTGCAATCTCCACCTCCCAGGTTCAAGTAATTCTCCTGCCTCAGCCTCCCGAGTAACTGGGATTACAGGCACCCACCATCACACCTGGCTAATTTTTGAATTTTTAGTAGAGAGTGGGTTTCACCATGTTGGCCAGGCTGGTCTCGAACTTCTGACCTCAAGTGATCCACCCACCTCAGTCTCCCAAAGTGCTGGGGATTACAGGTGTGAGCCACCACATCTGGGTGTCTAGTGTTTCATATATTCCTTTTAAACATTCTTTTTAAATTTTTTATTTTATGTATGTATGTATGTATTCATTTATTTATTTGAGACTGAGTTTCGCTCTTGTTGCCCAGGCTGAAATGCAATGGCACAATCTTGGCTCACTTCAACCTCCACCTCCCGGGTTCAAGCGATTACCCTGTCTCAGCCTCCCGGTGCTAGGATTATAGGCGTAAGCCACCATGCTCAGCCTTTTAAGTTTTGGGGTACTTGTGCAGGATGTGCAGGTTTGTTATATAGGCAAACATGTGCCATGGTGGTTTGCTGCACCTATTAACCCATTACCTAGGTATTAAGCGCAGCATGCATTAGCTGTTTTTCTTAATGTTCTCCCTCCTTACCCTCCACCTCCTAACAGGCCCCCATGTATGTTGTTCTATTCCCTGTGTCCATGGGTGTGTTTTTTTTTTTTTTTAGACAGAGTCTCCGTCTGATTTACATGAAGATGAAGAATTCTCAGGAACAGTCTGTGAGGAAATGAAGGTAGCATGACTGGGCAGAGTCAGAAGTTGAACTACAATGCAGTTGCAACAGAGACAACAGGTATTTGAATAGGGAGCTAAGGAACTGGGATGCCCTTCAGAATTCTTCTAAATTGAGAAAGTTTTGTTGTTACAGATGTGAATGCATGACAGCACTTATGCAGCTGTAGCTGAGGGAGGTACAGTCTGCACATCAAAATAATCTTTTACTTATTTTCTTGAATTTTATATATATATAATATTAATGAATTATATATATAAATAAAATAATGGCAAAAAGAAGATGAAGGATTATACTTCCTCATTATAAGTTAATTGTGTAGAGTAAGTGGAATAGATGAAATGTGAAAGACAAGAGATTTCTGAACAAAGTCCCTTGAAAAACTTCCTTCCCTGGTAAGTGACCAATTTGGAACATGTTGATCAATTTTTCTAAATTATTTATATTAAGGACTATTATTATCCTAATTTTGCAGATGAGGAAATTGAGAATCAAGAGTTCAGGAATTCTGTTTCAAGCTCCCACAGTTAAAGAACCTACTATTCCAATTCTCATCATTTTTTCACAAGTCTGACCAACTTTATCATATATCTTCAATACTAAGCAATGTGTCAAATTTTAGTGATGAACTAAAATATTAAGATGTAAATATTAAATCTTCACTATCTTTTTTTTCTCTTGTGCTCAAGCTCCCTGGGGCTGGCTCAAAGTACGCAAGTTCATTATCAGTTGAGTGCCAATATCAGGAAAAGAAAACCCCAACCCTCTTAAATAAAAAGGACAAATGCACAGAGACACTTGCTATCAAATAGAATCCTATAAAATTAGTTGATAGTAGCAAGGAAAGGAACAACACATTAAATGCATACCTTTGAAGATCTGCCTAACTCTCTCCTTTAACATTATTTTCATGGGCTTTAGGGTCAATACCTTTTACCTTATAAAAGAAAACTAATTACCTTGTAAACAGCTTTAGTAACAGATCCTAGTTTATTACAAGGAACTTTACATAGAGATTAATCCAGCTGACATTTTAAAAACAAACTTTAAACATCAGAAAATATATCTAAATTAATATCAAGATTGATCAAGACGGTTTTCAAAAAACTTTATCCCAAAAGTATAGGTGAAACATGTTCTAGATCTGTATTTTCAAGACAGCCTAAGTTCCATCATATAAACAAAAACACCATATATGGAGTATAATTCACTTTAATTTCGTGATTCTACCACATTTAGATATGTTTGGACTGGGTGTGACCAAAATCAATAACCTATTTTTCAATATCTTGGACATGTAGCAATAGCCCATATCCCAGTGATTGTCAGGTCCTTTTATCATGTTTGTTTATCTGTTTGGGGCCAGCAATAACATGGCTTCATTTTGTTCATCCATTGAGTACTATCATTTCAGCAATGAAGCCTCCCTCGCCTGAAACTCCATGTGGTTCCATTCCCAGGCCTTTCTGCCTAATGGTCCTGGGGATGGAGGTCAGGGAACCCTGAAAGCCTTCTTGATCTGCTGAGGACTAGGGTGATGTGAGTGAGGCACTGGTCTCAGGTGCAAACTTTAAGGAGGCACTAAAACTCACTAATCAAAAGAAATACTATTTTAACACAACATTTATGAAAATCAAAATGTAAAATCTGTAATGAAGAAAATAAACATCAAGATGTTAAATAATACAGATTTTTTCCTTTGCTTCAGACTCCAATATGACTCTGGACTCCACTGTTATTTAAATTAGTTGATAGTAGCAAGGAAAAGAACAACACATTAAATGCATACTTTTGAAGATTTGCCAAACACTCTCCTTTAACATTATTTTCATGGGCTATAGGGTCAATATTTTACCTTTTACCTTTTAAAAGGAAAATAATTACCTTGTAAACAACCCTCCCCACCTTTGCAATAATCTTAAACCTTGAACTTTCACCAGCATTTTTCCAAGTTTTAATACTAGAGGGGAATTCTCAGTCCAACTCCCTTCCTTTCTTCCCCAATGTAGATGCAGTGGCTTGAATTCCACATTCTGAACACACAAACACACACACACACACACATTTTTATCCAAGATTTCCACTGTTAGAAAGCCCTAAGGCCACTTTTTTGCTTCAGCATTGGAAGATCTCCTGAGCAAAATTGTGTTTGAAGTAGAAAAGCCAATTATTTGAATGTTTAGATGAATTAATTCAGGATCATTTTAATCCAGTATATTTAAGAAGTCTAGAAGCTTGTATTTCTAAAGACATATTTAGCATAAACATTCACACTGAATCCAGTAGCTGGGCCAGGTCATCTGCACACATAATTCATCTTGCCACCTGTACACACAATTCACCTTTCCAACTGAAGTGTAGAAAATTTGTTTTTTTTTTTTTTTTGTACCATTTTAGCTGCAATAGTCTTGTGTCTTGAAAAATCTAAGTTTTATTGGCAATTTTTTTCTTTCCTTTTCCTTTCTTTTTTCTTTTTAAATATTAATGTCATTTGGGAAGCATCTAATCAAAATAAACCATTTCTGAGTCTTTGAGCTCAGTATTCCATCTTTTAAATTTGGTGTAAATCATAGAAATATAAGATTATGAGTTAAGACCTTTTGAGTTAAGACCAACTAACATATCTACGAGTTGACATATCTTTGGCAGTTTCGATGTCCTCTATATAACCTATCCTCAACATTCTAACCTCATAACTTATCATTACTATCATTAATAACTATTATTTTTGCCCCACTTCAGCCATCTCTAACCTCAAAGAACCACTCTTGAACTTGTCATTATCTGAAAGAACTCAGAAATCTAAGTCTCTTCTGCTTCTCTCCAATCTCAATCTCCCAGGATTCAAATTTTCTCTTTTCCATATTTTCCACTAGAAATATTTGATTTTTTAAAAAGCGATATGTACACTTCCATTTCTCCCCACATAAATGCTTCTTTTGACTTATTTTTTTAATCCAGCTTAAATCCCAAGATACAACAATTTAAACCTGTTCCCATGCATCTTCAAGTTGATTTTATTTATTCACCTAACAAATTACTAGATGAATAATTGTTTCAGATTTCAATGATTGTTTCATCCAATAATTATTTAGTATAGATTCTCTACAAAGCTGTAAATATAAAGCCAAATAAAACACAGCTCCTGCCCTCCAACTGGTCATTTCAAGTATGTTTTTTGAGAAGACTCCTTGGACCATCCCAATCCCAGGTTAACTTAGATGTCCCTCCTTTGTGACCCTTGAGCATCCTTTAGTTTTCATTCAATACTGTATTTATGTGCCCAGAAATATGAGAATACCTCAAGAAGAGCGACTACATCTCTTGTCTCTTACCATCTCACTGCTTAGCATGTGCACATAAGGTTTGGCTGAAAACAATTTGGCTAAAAGTAATTTGACCAAGTGCGTAAAGCAATTTGGCTAATAGATAAATTTTAAGCAGAATAGTAGTGTAAAGAAATATTTGTTACTGGTTTTAAAATCTGTAAAAAAACTAGTATACTGAGGGTAAAGTGTATGGCAGTTTTCCAAAGCTCTGTGTGTCTTTTAGTATTTCTATCCATATTTCTAAATTAACAAAGGGGTGCTCCTTTTGTCACATTTTTATTTATCCCAAGCTATATATCTGACAAATTGCATATTTTAAAAATTACAGGGGCCAGATGTGGTGGCTTACACCTGCAATCCCTAGCACTCTGAGAGGCCCGGGCATGCAGATTGCTTGAGCTCAGGAGTCAAGACCAGCCTGAGCAACATGGTGAAACCAATCTCTACAAAAAATACAAAAACAAACAAACAAACAAAAAAATTAGCCAGGTGTGGTGGCGCATGCCTGTATTCCCAGCTACCTTGGGGGCCGAAGTGGGAGGATGGCTTGAGCACCGGAGGGCAAGGCAGCAGTGAGCTGAGATCACACCACTGCATTACAGCCTGGGTGACAAAGTGAGATTGTGTCTCAGAAAAAAAAAAATACTTTGTGTTACACAACAGTAGTACAAAAGGACTCATTTATACACTCAACAAGTATTTAAAGACTGCCTGCTCTCTGCTAGGCATTAATCTCATAGTAACAATAAACTGGGGAGCAGACAGACAAGACCCGTACATTCTGGTGGATTCCACTTTTGAACAGAAATGACTAGAAAAGCCTCTGACTAGAAACTTATGCAACCAGATACCAATATCATACATCATTAAGTGGAAGTATTTATAAGTTTTCTAATGTACTTTTCCATTTTGATTTTCCTATATAAATGGGCACTGTCAAACAATAAGAAATAGGAAATAAGAAACTGATCATATTCAAATAATAAAAATGGTATTAAAAATCTGAGATTTGGGGAACCGCGGCTTAGGTGCAGATATGGCCAAGTATATGAACCACACCACACACAACCAGTCCTGAAAATGGCACAGAAATGGTATCAAGAAACCCCAATCACAAAGATACGAATCTCTTAAGGGCGTGGACCCCAAGTTCCTGAGGAACATGCGCTTTGCCAAGAAGCACAACAAGAAGGGCCTAAAGAAGATGCAGGCCAACAATGCCAAGGCCATGAATGCACATGCCGAGGCCAATAAGGCCCTCGTAAAGCCCAAGGAGGTTAAGCTCAAGATCCCAAAGGGTGCCAGCCGCAAGCTCCATCGACTTGCCTACAATGCCCACTCCAAGCTTGGGAAGTGTGCTTGTGCATGCATTGCCAAGGGGCTCAGGCTCTGCCAGCCAAAGGTCAAGGCCAAGGATCAAACCAAGGCCCAGGCTGCAGCTCCAGCGTCAGTTCCAGCTCACGCTCCCAAAGGTGCCCAGGCCCCTACAAAGGCTTCAGAGTAGATATCTCTGTCTGCCAACGTGAGGACAGAACGACTAGTGCGACCCCCTGGGGCTGCCGTCTGCATAGGGCTGGGGTCCTCCTGTGCTATTTGTACAAATAAACCTGAGGCAGGAAAAGAAAATATGAGATTTAGGATAGGTGAAACGTTTCTTTCTCTTTTAAATAAAACCCAAATCAATTTTCAGTTCCATCCTTCTACTCAAAAGTGTATTTGAATAACTGGTAAATTATTATTAATAAAAGCAGGAATATTAGTGATCTGGCAATTTTATTGGTGTTTTTAAGACATAGTTGTAATAGAAAAATTTTAATTTGGCTGGGCGTGGTGGTTCACGCCCGTAATCCCAGCACTTTGGGATGCCAAGGCGTGCGGATCACCTGAGTTCAGGAGCTCAAGACCAGCCTGACCAACCTGGTGAAACCCCTTCTCTACTAAAAAATACAAAAATTATCCACATGTAGTGGTGGGTGGCTGTAATCCCAGCTACTCGGGAGGCTGAGGCAGAAGAATCACTTGAACCTGGGAGGCAGAGGTTGCAGTGAGCCAAGATTACGGCACTGTACTCCAGCCTGGACGTCAGAGCCAGACTCTGTCTCAAAAAAAAAAGAAAGAAAAATTTTAATTTATAAATGACTTATTGATAAAATAGCAGGTGAATAATTTTTCAATAATATATGTGGTAGGAAGGGCTTAGTTTGCATGGACTACAAGCTTGGTAAGTAATTGAAATGACCTTTGCTCCCATCCTACTTCCTTAGCCTTCCACAATATGGCTCCAACATAACTTTCTAATCTTATTTTCTGGTAGGCACCTAACAACTATTGTTCTCCAGGAAATCTGACTGAAAAAATTATCAATGTGAAACTAATTTGTTGAAAGCAATTTAGAAATTGGCCTAAAGCTACTGAGAGAATGGTGGCAAATATGACTTTGATTGAAATGCCAAGTTTGGCCGGGCGTGGTGGCTCACGCCTGTAATCCCAGCACTTTGGGAGGCCGAGGCAGGTGGATCACAAGGTCAAGAGATCGAGACCATCCTGGTCAACATGGTGAAACCCTGTCTCTACTAAAAATACAAAAAATTAGCTGGGCATGGTGGCACATGCCTGTAATCCCAGCTACTCAGGAGGCTGCGGCAGGAGAATTGCCTGATCCCAGGAGGCGGAGGTTGCAGTGAGCCGCGATTGCGCCATTGCACTCCAGCCTGGGTAACAAGAGCTAAACTCCGTCTCAAAAAAAAAAAAAAAAAAAAAAAAAAAAAAATGCCAAGTTCATCAAAACTATAATTTTGTTGTTATTGCGAAGTTTTATTTTAGTATTGGTGTAAGAGCACATCACGATGTGGCTTTGCAACCCTTAGTCTTTGCTAAATATTTTATTTTTCCTTTTAAAAAAAATTAAAACTTTTTTTCTTTTATGTTTCCAATTTATTTTCAGCCAATAATCCCATGATGCATAATCCCAATGATGACATCATTGTTCATTATGTAAAATTTGAAAACAATCTAAATATTCAACAGTAAAGGATTTTCAGAGCTAAACACCCTTTGTCTTTCTGTGGAGAGATGAAAAGTCAAGAAAACTAATGGAGGGGCAGGCGCAGTGGCTCATGCCCGTAATCCCAACACTTTGGGAGGCTGAGGTGGGTGGATCACTTGAGGTTGGGAGTTCAAGACCAGCCTGACCAAAATGGAGAACCCCTGTATCAATAAAAATGCAAAATTAACCGGGCGTGATGGCACATGCCTGTAATCCCAGCTACTCGGGAGGTTGAGGCAGGAGAATTGCTTGAACCTGGGAGGTGAAGGTTACAGTGAACCGAGATCACAGCATTGCACCCCAACCTGGGCAACAGAGCGAGCCTCTATCTCTAAATAAATAAATAAATAAATAAAACTAATGGAGACTATTCTTTCCAGGAGAACAGCTGCAATGGCAGAGATAGGTAGTAGCTCTAAGAAGATGGTCTAGGAAGTATTTTTTAAGATAAGTAAATATGTGGTAGAAATTGCCAAAAGGTGGAAAAGCAAAACTAAATATAACAATTATTTTAAAATTCATAATGTTAATTATGCAAGAAAATTAAAAAGCCTTGGTGAACTGGGCAGAACCTCTTCTCTCTCTCTTTTTGAGACAGAGTCTCACTCTGTCACCCAGGCTGTAGTGTAGTGGCACAATCTCGTCGGCTCACTGCAACCTCTGCCTCTGGGTTCAAGCAATTCTCTTGCCTCAGCCCCCCGAGTAGCTGGGGCTACAGGCACAGGCTGCCACACCTGGCTAATTTTTTGTAGTTTTTTAATAGAGACGGGGTTTCACCGTGTTGCCCAGGCTAGTCGCGAACTCCTGAGCTCAGGCAATCTGCCCGCCTTCGCCTCCCAAAGTGCTGGGATTACAGGCGTGAGCCACCGTGCCTGGCCCTCTCTCTTTTTCACTTCGATTATTTAAAAACATCCCCACTAGTTTTTCTTTTTATCACTTGCTATCTCTGCCCTCCCCTCACCTCCTTTGCAGTAACCCACTGCTATCTTTCTCCTCACTTGGTTCAGTATTTCCTGAATATTTAGCTACATGATAGGATTATCAACAACGAAAATACTATTTAACATTGATGGTTCAGGACCGTGGACAGCAGCACTCACGCTGGGAATGGGGCTTGCTGAAATTGCAGTGACTTCGAAAGTACGGTCTATTTTAGAGTAAGTGTGTTGGCATGGCTACAAATGGATAAGGTGATGGTGAGAATATTAAAACCCATGGCTGAATTACATTTTTTTCTTCCCTTCATGGCGAGGGAAAAATCATTGACATTATCATGAAGAAAGTCACATAGTAGGACTCAGACACCTTAATTGAATAAACTTTTCACCCTAATGATAGAGTGGCTCAATACATGGGCGTATTTGATGACTCTTTTAAAGTTATCATTCCAAATCAATAACTGCAAAGCAAATGTGTGCATTTTTTTTTACAGTGCTGTCCATGGTGTCAATGAAAATAAAGATGTTAACAGTTGAACTAAAAAATGAGAACTGAGTTGAGATTCAGGCACTAACACAGGATAATGCAAATTAGTTTTAGATGTGAAATTAAAAACATCATTGGCTATTTTTACAATAAAATTTTAAAAGTCCTTTCATGACCTTGTCCAACAATTTAAATGACCCTGTCATCCACCTTCTGACACAAGTCACTTAAGCAAATGGTTACTTAAAACTTCATCAATGGAAGCCTGAAAATTTAACAATATACATTTCAGGTAGCATTCTTTCATCTCTGTTATCCTGAAACAGTTCCTAAACAGAAAACAAACTAATTCCACTCAAATTTACATGTTTACATAAACTCACATTTCATGTGTCATCTCTTCTGAAGTCTTTTTCTAGAATTAGTCCCTACAGTTCTTGACGTGTGTGACTCTCATTTTGACACAAGCATACAATGCCTCCAACTTTTGCAGCCTGGTGCTTATGTCCTCTGAAAGACAAACATTGAGAGCCATTTGAAGTAGTTCACCTGCTTTCTGTTACATATCATTACACTTAAAAGGGCTGGCATACAAATATTAAAAACTTACAAATCATCTTTCTTCTGGAATTCTAGAGTGCATCTCTGCTTCTTGGCACATATATCTCTGGAGTATGACAGTACAACTGGTGAAATCATCCTTTAAATTGATGAGATGCTATTGATCACTCCTCTTAGTTTTACCCCAACTGGCAAATGTTCACATAACCATGTAGATATGTTGCCTTAAATCAGCATTTATCCAACTTTTTCCCTAAGGCATTCACCTCTGCCGGCAAAAGTACATGAAGTAAAGCAGAATCTAGAAGCATTATTCAAAGTTGTAGATGGCAAATAGAACATTTCTTTGAACTCTCATGCTTTACCTTGAAATACATTAAAATTTTGCAGTCTATGCTTTACCTTGAAATACATTAAAATTTTGCAGTCTATTCTAGAATTAATTCTTTCAACAAATATTAGGTGCCTACTACATGCCAGGCATTATTACAGGGACACAGTAATGAATAAACATATTTGTGTTTGTTTTAATGTAGTAACATTTTGATACAACTGGCATGAGTAGAAAAACAAAAACTTTACCAAATCCAAGAGCAAAACCGATAATCCAAGATGGAACAATTATTGCTTCAAATACCCCTAGTTATGCTATTGCAACCTGAGAGTCTATTTGCACCCATTTGAGCAGCATAGTCTTGGGCTAATTCCCAGAATACAAAGCCAACAGTAAATATTCACTCTAGATGAAAATATTTGAGAGTATTCTTAGAACTAACCAGGTTGTCTTCATTTTACCATTAGGTTCTGCCTTTAGGTTCTGGCAAAGGTGGACATCCACTTTAATACCTGGAGAAACGTACAAAACTTATTCTTCAAAATAACATGAAGGGAAGGGGGATATCATTCTTGACACTTCAAAGTTAAGCCTTCATTGACTTCAGCACCACATTACTAACAATTGCTCTTTAAAAAAAAAAAAGCCTTAATTGAGCAGCTTCTTCCAGGTTCTTATGCATCTGCTGATACACTTCATAAAGATGGGAAAAGCAAAATCTCACACAGGACAAATTTTTGGATTTCTCTTTGCAGAGAAATGCTGAACATTCCTGTTATTTCATTCTATTGGTCTGGGATTGAGGCTCACATGAAGATTCCTTGAAAAGTATTAAACTCCTTAATGGTAATTTTATCTTAAACAATTTGCTTTTGATTTTTGGTCTAACTCCAAAAATAAATGAGGGATTAATATTGCTGTTTGTGCATATATGGCATATGTATTTTTTACTGGAGGCTCCTCTTTTCAATAGCTTTATAAATTTATAATAGCACAAGTGGTTTCTTATTGGGGTTAAGAGTCAGTCCTCCAAAACTGCAGTGACTGAAGAACTTGCATGAAGCCTGACTCTCCTACCTGGAGCCACCTAGTCAATCAACCCAAATTATTACAAAGGACTCTGTGCATGCATGTTAATGTGTTTCTCTTATAGACAATGTATGACCCCCAAAATTCAAACTCCTTCAGACTGGTTAATTAGAGAAGAGGTAAAGAAAATACCAAAATATATCGACTTCACGACTACAGGACAGTGGTTCTTAACCCAGAAAAGAGGTGCCTCCAGTAAAAAATACATATGCCATATATGATCAGAATCATCTGCAGAACTAGTATGAGACTTTGCTGTTTTAAAAATTCAAATTGTGGATCAGTGTTCATAAATCTAACCTGAGGGGCCTAGGAATACCTTTTAGAAACTCCACATATGATTCTAATTTAAAGACTATAAGACTGCTATGGTTTGGATATTTGTCCTCGCCAAATCCCACATTGAAATTTAATCCCCAGTGTGATGGTGTTTGAAGATAGCGCCTAGAGGGGTGTTTGGGTTATGGCAAGTAGATCCCTCATAAATAGATTAATGCCCTCCTGTGGGGAGCATGGGTAAGGGAGTTCTTGCTTTATTAGTTCCCACCAAAGCTAGTTTTTAAAATTTACTTATTTTTTTGAGATAGCGTTTCACTCTTGTTGCCTAGGCTGGAGTGCAATGGCGAGATCTAAGCTCACTGCAACCTCTGCCTACTGGGTTCAAGAGATTGTCCTGCACCAGCCTCCCACGTAGCTGGGATTACAGGCATGAGCCATCATGCCCGGCTACTTTTGTATTTTTTTTAGTAGAGACGAGGTTTCTCCATGTTGGTCAGGCTGGTCTTGAATTCCCAACCTCAGGTGATCCACCTGCCTTGGCCTCCCAAAGTGTTCAGATTACAGGCATGAGCCACTGCACCTGGCCTCAGCTAGTTAAAAAGAAAAGCTTGGCACTTCTACCCTCACTCTCTGGCCATGTGTTCTCTACACACACAGTACCCCTTCCCCTTCTACCATGAGTGGAAACAGCCTGGGGCCCTCACCAGATGCAGATGCCCAATCTATGTGCATGGATGTTAATGTGTTTCTCTTGTAGACAATGTACAACCCCAAAATTCAACCTCCTTCAGACTGCTTAATTAGAGAAGAGGTGAAGAAAATATTCTTCACCTCTTCTCTAATTACAAAATATATAGACTTCATGACTACAGGACAGTAGTTCTTAAGCCAGATTGTGCATCAGAATGATCTGCATGCAATTTTGCTGTTTTAAAAATTCAGATTGGGAATCCATGTTCATAAATCTAACCTGAGAGGGGCGTCAGAATGCAAATGTTTTAGGAACTCCACATATGATTCTAATTTAAATACTGTAAGATCACTTTCCAGTCTTTATCTCTTTTTGTTTTTTGAGATGGAGTTTTGCTCTTGTTACCCAGGCTGGAGTGCAATGGTGCGATCTCGGCTCACCGCAATCTCTGCCTCCTGGGTTCAGGTCCAGTCTTTATCATACCTTCCAGCCATCCAGAATTGTAAGTCAAATAAACCTTTTTCTTTATAAACTACCCAGCCTCAGATATTCCTTCACAGCAACACAAAATGGACTAAAACAAAGACTAAAGTTCATTTTACTCCCGATGATAATATAGCCTCCGGGTTTTGTTAAGATTTAAATTTAGTGTGCCTGGAGGCTAGAATCTGGATGTTTTAACGTGCTAGTTACCTCAGTCTTCTCACACTTCATATAAAAGACAACACCTGAAATCCAAAAATAGTCAAAGTCTCCAGAGTAGAAATTCCAAGTTATTCCATTTCCTGTGTATAAACTCACTCATGTGCACAGCAGGAGCCTAACTTCAAGTCTTGGTGTTATAGGCAGGATCTCTCTCAAATACGAGATGATTTTAAATACATAACCTTGTGCTCACCAGTAAGAAGCCTTGAACATTTTATATTTGAAATTTTAAGGTCAGTTTATTAAGTTCAATGATGAAAGCTATCAGAAGAATATTCTCCTGAAAATAATTTTTTCCTAGAAAAAAAGAAAGGAAAATTAAAACCCTCTGAGCATAGCCACAGATGCTGTGGCAGTCAAGCCTCTCTGCAGATGGGGACTGTCCATTCATTAATCAGCTGAGTCACTCTCTGGGTCAGCAGGAGTGTAGTCTGGATCATCTTCATCATCCTCTAACTCCAAGTCATCCATTTCTTGGAACAAAGACTCATCTACCTCCACATTGTTTCCAGCTGCAAAAGGGGAAAAAAAATCCAGCTTTAGTTTTATACTCAGAAATAAAAGATACAACTCATTGGCAAACCAAACAGAAATCTCCAAATCTGCATGTGTTGTAGGAGTGATGAAATCCCAAACTACTACTATTACTATTAGTACATATCATATCAACAGTGATTTGTATTGGTCAGTAGAGACTCTGAAATTTTAAGAGCAACTTCAGGTTTCCAGCTCATAGTCTAAAAATCCAGTTATTAAAAAAACCTTACTAGAATTATTTATAATGTAGCATGTTGTCAGTTGAAGACAACAATGATATGTTCTCCTGGTTATAGAAAATTGACTATCATTGACCATGGGACTGGTATGAGGAGTTATCTATCTCTTCCAGTAGTAGCAGATAAGCACATTGTTAAAGCTCAGCCATACTTGTTGATTAATGGATTTGACTTGATCTTCATTCTCACTCAGTTCCCCTTTTAACCAATGGTATGCCTTTAGTTACAATTTCTAAGGCCTACAGGAAACAATACCCAGGCTCTGCATTAAATATCTTCACTCTTCAGTGTGTCTGAAGTAGATAAAAGTATGATACTAAAGCACTCTTAGATCACCACAAATTATTCATCTTCCTCCCCTGTCAAACTCTAGTCTATTGACATTCAATTCAATGAAAATATAAAGAGAATGAGTCCCGTTTCATGCCTATGAGCAATTCAGCAATAAAATACAATTAAGTCCTGGCCAAAGAATAACGGGCTCTGTCTAGGAGATATAGCAAAGACATCATGGAGCAAATGAAGTCTGAAATATCTTCATGATAAATTTGAATCCACCAAGAAAAGGAGCCAGGATGAAGCAATTTTAGGTAGAAGAATATGCAAAGGCAGAGAGAAAATGTAAGACCTGAATAATTTTAACTGGAAGATGAAATTCCTGAGAAAAAATACCTGAAATTAATGTAGATGAGGGCCAGATTGAGAAAGACTGTGTACGTCATTCTCTCTCTAAGCAGTGAAAACCATCAAAGGATTTTAAGGAGAGAAATTTTATAATTAAATATGGGTTTAAAAATACCATCTCACAGGAAGTGACTATAGAATAGGTAATGGCACTAGGAGGAGGAAAAGATTTAGGGAAATAATTTAAGAAGCTACCATAAAAATCTAGGCGAAAATGACAAAACAGTTAAATCAGAAAAGGAAAAGGTATCAAAAACTTTAAAATGTTGACTGTCAGTAAAGGCCTAGCTTAGATTAGAAAGCATTTAGCAGTAAGCTACATCAACACTGCTTCTTAACCTTCTTCAGCAGGTAATCCAGAACAAGGGTGAAAGGCCAGAAAGAAGCTAAAGGATTCCCAACTGGCAAGACAGAAATAACAAAAGGTTAATAAAGTACAGAACTCTAGAATGCTATCAGAGGTGTGACTGAGTATGGAGCCCAGTTTAAGAAAATACATGTAGGCCATTAGCTCCCAAGGGCAGAGAATTGGCCTATACTGTACTCTGCTGTATCCTCAATGGCCAGGACAGTGCAATAAATATTTGTAAGTGAATGGATGATGGACAGATGGAAGAGAAGAAAAGGACAGGTGATAGAAGAGAAGCACAAGGGACTAGATACTCCAAATATAGCAAGAGTCATATGACAGGCTGGTGAGAGGGAATGCTAGGAGTTAAACATCTGAGGTTTTTACAAGCTCCACAACAGACCGTGGAATAGTTTTCACGGATTTGTGATACTAGAAACTTCAAGAAAACAGGTCACGTGAGTCACAATAACCTAGTTTACTAGTTGTAAGAGGATAGTGTGATCATTATTGTCTATTTCTATCTTTGATATTGCTTAAGTTATCAAAAAATTTAAAATATATATTGCTATAGAATTACAACATTCATTTCAAATGTATAAATTGGCCAACCACTAGAATTTATTCTTCAAAATATATTTTTTAACAACATTGGAAGGAAAAATATACAATAAATAAAGTTCAGTTTGATTTTCATGGTTCAAAACTAAACAGACTGCATTATATACATATGGAATTCTTTTTTTCCTTTTTTTTTTAAATATTGACAGGGGCTCACTGTGTTTCCCAGTCTGGGCTCAAACTCCTGGGCTCAAGCTATCCTCCTGACTTGGCTTTCCAAAGTGCTGGATGACAGGTGTGAGCTACTGTGCCTGTCCTACATGTGGAATTCTAGTATTATCTTACCATCCTCCAAGAACTGGATATCAGATGTGTCAAGATTATGATCTGTTTCAAATAGTTGTTTCCCTAAAAAAAAAAAAAAAAGTTTAATTCAAATGGCATAGTTTTTCTCCATTTTCATTACAACACTAAAAAATAAAATCCAAGAAAGCAAGTTTGAAAACCTTTTTCTCTGTGAATTTCAATAAATTTTTGAACCTATTCAATAGCTAAATGGCAAGTGAAATGTAACTGCATTAAGATGGAACAAGTGAAAACCTAGTCTTCCTGAGGGTACTAGAAAAACAAATGGGTTTGACTCTACTACTTCTAAGACATGATCCTGAATGTCTTTCTATTGCAGGATCTAGCAATTATAATACTAATATCAAAGATAAGCCATACAAATTAATTATAAATTATGAGTGGAGAAATATCTTATAGATATGTTTTCTCTTTTTTGTCCTAGATGCCTATGTACATTATTTTCTTACAGAAATCTGTCCAAACGATCCTCTTGCTATATAAAAAATGATACAGGAGGGTTTAGGAAGAACAGGAATGGCAAAAGAATCATACCACTTAATTTATTTTTTCCTGCTTGTTCTTCTTCTTTCATCCTTTTCTTTTTAATTTCCAAGAGTTCTGCATCAAACTTGGCCTTCCAATTTAAGAAATTCTCAATTGTAACTGGAGTGCCATGGAATAATTGCTTAGAAAATTAAAAAAAAAAAAGTCACCAGATTAATGAAACAGCAGTTTTAACAAATAAATCCTAATGGTATCTTCTAAACAAGTAAACACAACCCCTTATAAGAAAAACAGAAAAATTAATGTTTGAAATTTTGAAATATTTAATCTGATTTCTGCCTGCACTGTCTACTCTCATTGGTTTTGGCAACATACTTTGAAGTAGTCCATTTTTTTTCTTATTATAAAAAACAAAGATAATATACAATGTATTCACTGTATTTACCACCATAGCTATTCATTGTTAAGAAAAAAGTTGTTACTGTCAAATATAATTTGGTTGTGTCCTCACCCAAATCTCAACTTGAATTATGTCTCCCAGAATTTCCATGTGTTGTGGGAGGGACCGAGGAGGAGGTAACTGAATAATGGGGGCCTGTCTTTCCTGTGCTATTCTCGTGATAATAAGTGTCAAGACATCGGATGAATTTACCAGGGGTTTCTGCTTTTGCTTCTTCCTTTTTCTCTTGCCACTGCAATGTAAGAAGTGCCTTTCACCTCCCACTATTCTGAGGCCTCCCCAGCCATGTGGAACTATAAGTCCAATTAAACCTCTTTTTGTTCCCAGTTTTGGGTATGTCTTTATCAGCAGCATGAAAATGAACTAATACACTGTCAGTATTGATAAGTTTTAAATACACATCAATTTCTAATGTTAAATCATTGCTTTATCACTTCATTTCAAAATCTGAGGCTTTCTTTACAATTAGTAACTATTTAATTCACTGTAGTATAGGAGATTTATAATTCTAAACTCTATACTAACTTTGTCCAACCCATACATAGCCTGTGGACCACATGCAGCCCAGGACAGCTTTGAATGCGGCCCAACACAAATTCGTAAACTGTCTTAAAACATGAGACTCTTTTGCATTTTTTTTTTTTTAGCTCATCAGCTATTAATGTATTTTATGTATGGCCTAAGACAATTCTTCTTCCAATGTGGCCCAGTGAAGCCAAAAAATTGGACACCCCTGCTCCATATCATAGGTGAAATTATTTATACTTCTTGGTCTTACTTGCATGAGTTTTACTAACTTCTACTGATTATCATTCATTATTCAAACTATGCTACCAACCAAATGAGGGACTTCTACAATTTTATTCTTAATAAAACTTTACTAAAATTTACTTTTATTTTTGTGATTTCCAAAAAAAAGAAATACTGCTATTGATCAAAAAAACCCTCAAAACCCAAACAAGCAACCAAAACTGATTTAAGAATAAAAGAAAACAAGGCTTATAAATATACCTTTTCAGCTTCTTCTGCTTCTTTTTCTTTTTGTTTCTTTTCTTCTTCTCTTCTAGTTTTTATCTGATCTACTATTTCGTTTAATTTTTCTTGCACAGCTGTCACTAGAGTAAAGATCATCACCATACCAAGATTTTCTTCAGCCTATGTAACAAAAAAAGGTGATGAGCATTACACTCTCAGAAAAATAAAAATCCATACATTTATAATGATTACCAATTCAGTTATACCCTATGTTCATACAGTTCAATAAAAGATCATTTAAGTGAGCATATATATATAAATAAGGTTATTTAAAAAGTCATATAAATATGCCATATCCAATCTGAAACAGATACTGTATTTCAGTAAATTCTATTTAATAATCATATAGGTAAAATTCAGAAAACTATTTCCTATAGTAATTGGTAACATCCTTTCTCCAGCATGTTTTCAATATTTAGTTCTTTTTGACTATTTTAAGAGCTGCGACAATGAACTGCATTTTGGGGCCAGAGTGAGTTCTAAAATAATACAATAATAAAGAATGTAGGAAATACTGTAGTTTATTTGTCTCAACCTTTTTTTCTTTAGATTTGAAATAGTTTAAAACCAAATATAAAAGCATCTCAAACTCATAAGGAATATAAACTCAAAAGGCTATTAGGAAGTTGGTCATTTGAAGGCAGAAAAAAATAACAAGATAGGGTTCCAAAGAAGAAGACAAAAATAATTTTAAAATTTACTAGCCAGACAGTGCTAGAAGCAGAGATTACTAAGCATTTCTTTGACAAGGCTGCCCTCAGCAGCATCTCAGTAGGTATTGCATCTTCTGGGCCCTCTGTGAGTACTAGGCTTCAAGCTAGCTCCTACAATCCAACTCACTGGGACTTTTCTGTGGTGTTTCTATGGTAACAATCCTAAATCTATGACTAAACAAGCCTCTCTCCTGAGTGGCAGACCCATATTAAAACTGACTATTTTATGGCAGACTTGATGTCCTACAGTCAACTCAACACAAAACCATCATCTCCTCAAAACCTATTCCTGGATCATCAGTCTCTGCAAATCATACCACCACCTACCCAGCCTGAACATCCCCATCCCATCATAAACTCCATCACTGCTTCTTATCTATTCTAAATGTCATATAAGTCTGTCCATCACACTGTTATAAGCCTAGTCCTGAGTACCATCATTTTCAGCTTGGAATATAAGAAACTCCTAACTGTTCTTCTTAAAAGCTATAATCTTAAAACTTAACATCAACTTCCCCTGACCACTCAATACACACACACACACACACACACACAAAGAGAGAGAAAGAGACAGACAGAGAACTAATCAATTTACAAACTGAAGCACCATAAAACTGATCTAATCCATCTCTTGCTTAAAACCCCTTCATAGTTGCGCAAATCAATCAGGACCAAATCCACATTTTGTGAACAGTTTAGAAGACCCTTGAAATAAGAAAGTAGCCTCTTTAGTTCCACCACTTATCACCACCAACTTCAAATCCTAAATTCAATGAATTTTGTGTGACTAGAAGTTCTAGAAGAAATAATCAATCAATTGCTTTTTCTCACCTCAATATCCTTTAACAAGTTTGTTCCTCTACCCTGAAATTTTTCTACTCTATTTCCTGGCCAACTCTTCCTACAGTTCTCAGTTCCTCTTGGAAGCTTCTCCAGAACTTTGTTTATGTCAACCCATACAATCTTATATTTCGTAAGTTTCTGTCATAGCATTTTTCCTACAGAATGATTTCCAATTTGCTAATCCACACTGCTCACCAGAGAATAAAATCTATGAGACCAAGGATGGTGTCTTCCTTGTTCACTCAACCTAATGGTTGACACATTTCAATAACAAAACTTTCATATCCAATAAAAGTAGAATATCTTTTAGAAAAGTTAAGAATTCCAATAGAAAAGCAAAAAAAATTAATCATTCACATGGAAATTGCACAACTTGGAAGTCATACTAGTTCCACATCACTAGTATTTTTTAAATGCAAAGTATAATATTACATGCTATTTTCACCTTGTCATCATAACAGATACCACAATATCTGTTATGTGAGATCATAAATTGGCACAACCATTTTGAAGGCCAACTTGGCAGTATGTATGAAATTCTTAAGTATGCATTCCCTTTAATCCAGTAATCCTACTTCTAGTATACTCATCAGTAATTCATTATTTTCATTTATTCAACAAATATTTGACTGTCTATTATGTGTCAGGCACTAAAAGTACAATGGAGAACCTGCTCTAAGGATTTACACATAGTGATATATAAGAATGCTGAAATAATTATATATTAATTCTTAATTATATGTTAATTATATATCAGGCAAAAATGAGACAACCGTAAGTTGTCTTAAAAAAGATATAATTACATATTCAATGAAATTCTAAACGATTACCAAACATAATGACTCATATATATTTAACTGAAATGAAAAGATGTTCACATGTATTATGTGAAAAGGAGGATATTATAAAACATTATGCATAAAATGATCTAACTTGGCTGGGAGAGGGGGACTATAAAGATAAGCCTAAGAAAAAAGTCTGACACTAGATCACACCAAAATGTTAACAGACAATTATAAATGGTTGGTACAATTAAACATAATCTTTATTTTCTTCTTCTCTGTGATTTTTTTGTATCTTCTGAGTTTCTGTAATATGAATTTATTATTTTGATATCATAAAGTTACAACAATTATTTTTGGGAAAACAAAGGACAAATATTCCCTGAACACACTGGAGGCTCATGCAGGTGTCAAAAAAATCAAAACAGCCTTTTTGAAAGGAGATGTTTGAGTACAAATAAACTGAACACATGGGCAAATTCACTTAGACTGAATAATTTACATTAAGGTGTGACTGACTGATTATAGCACAACCATCCTTGGTTTTCTGCAATGTTTTAAAAGATGTTCGAAGAGCTGGGCAAAGTGGTTCATGCCTATAATCCCAGCACTTGGGGAGGCTGAGGCAGAAGAATCACTTGAGCCCAGGAGTTCAAGGCTGCATGAGCCATGATCATGTCACTGCCCTCCAGCCTGGGTGACAGAGCAACACCCTCTCTCAAAAAAAAATAAAAAATGTTAGAATTAGCATAATTTCATGCTAGGTAAAAAGGTGAATAGGGCCCAGGATTAGCAAAAATCCCTATCTGATATATCTTCTTTCACTCCTCATCATACAACAGCTCCAGTTATTTTATTTTATTTTTTTTTGAGACGGAGTTTCACTATTGTTACCCAGGCTGGAGTACAATGGCACGATCTCGGCTCACCACAACCTCCGCCTTCTGAGTTCAAGCAATTCTCCTGCCTCAGCCTCCCGAGTAGCTGGGACTACAGGCGCGCACCACCATGCCCAGCTAATTTTTGTATTTTTAGTAGAGATGGGGTTTCACCTTGTTGACTAGGATGGTCTCGATCTCTGACCTCGTGATCCACCCGCCTCGGCCTCCCAAAGTGCTGGGATTATAGGCGTGAGCCACCACGCCCAGCCAGCTCGAGATATTTTTATAACATCAACATTCCAGTGACCACTGGTCTTTAGATATGTAAGTCACATCTAAGGTGGAGATATGTTTTCTGTCAATTCTTCTTAGAGTAAACAAATAAAGGTAGGACTTCTGATGTTAAGATAGCGGAGTAAGAATTTTATGCCGCTCCCTACTCTCTACTCTGAAGAACCCCATGAAAACTCTCTACCCAAGCTTGAGTATATTTTAGATACCTGCCAAGCCCAGATTACAGGTAGCCTATCCCACAATAAAATTAATTCAGTAAAAACTTTTTTTAATACCCATTTTTTTTCCACACAAGCCTCCCCTCATAGGGGTTATAAGCCATTATTGTTGTTTGCAAGCTTTGGGAGTAGAGATGGTAGAAAGAAAATCAATCATCAGTCCTTTTCCCAGACTGCAGGCTACTAGTATGTAACAAGTCAGACGGAAAAAGAGTTTTAAGTTTTTTATAAAGTTGAAAATTGTAGCTACATATGGGACTAGACATTCTAAGAATCCAAAATACAAAATACTAAAAATACAAAAATTAGAATCCAATCAAAACACTGTTTACAATTTAAAGTACCTGTTGGACATTTTATCACTCATGAATGAGCAAAAAAGCCATGAGTTTACTGACTGAGTTTCAAGCAGGGGCAATGGAACAACTTCTATTACTCAAATTTTAAAGAGACAGTAGGAAACAAAAATAAAGATGCTCTGTCATTAAGTATCATGAATTCTGCTTGGTTAATGTACTATTTACACACCTAATAGCACTTTCAAACTTGAAATTAATATATAACATTTAAGGCCAATAAATGCTGCTATAAAACATAAAATTATTATTTCCTTACCTGTAACGCTAGTAATTTTAAAATGTCTGAGATATCATTATCTTCTAGATTTTCCTGAGAGAATATTTCATAAAGGGGAGCTTCATCTGGGTATTTTTCACTGTATGTAAACTTGAGGGTAGTCTGGACAGCTAAGACACAAGATAAGAGTTTGATGTGAATACCTTAAAAGTATAGAGGTAGATATCTTTGTTGAATCAGTAAAAAGTAGCACAATAGATTTTCCTACAAAGAAAACAGGTTATTAAGAGACCAGATTAATCACTAAACAACATATACCACAAAGAGATAAGTGAAACAAATCATGGAATACCAAAACTCACACTTACACATGAAGTACATTTACCACTTATTGGTATTTACCATACTGCATGTCTGAGAAAGGGGATGGATAAATGCCACTTTTTAAAAACCTTTCCTAAGATAAACCAAAGGCACTGAATACAATGCATTTTTAAAAAGCACTACCATAAGCTCATTTTTAGCCTCTACCAGAGCCAGTTCCTACCTGCAGAAGATCTGGCTATAGCCCTGGAATCTGTATTCAAATCCACACAATGCCAGCAGGGCTAATTAGTGGCTGAATGGCACCATTTTGACCCCAACAGTTTAAAAGGTTATATGGGAAACTTTTAACCTAATTCATTTATATATTCTCACTCATTCTTTTAGTCTGTGTCAATTTACGGATCTCAAACTTGTATACAAGTAAAACTCTTATGGGTATGTCAGTGCAAGGTGCCTCTCTGCAGCCCAGGCCATTCTCAATTCAACCAAGGAGTCTGCAACTAAGCAGTAGTGCTAAACATTTTCTGTTAAGACTTTTTATTACTTCCAATGATCTTTTTCCCAGAGTGCCATCTTTTGTGTAACTCACATTTTAAATTATTAAAATCTACTGATTTTGATACGAATTTATACTGCTCTTCATGGATAGGGAAAAAAGGCACCTTAAAATTTGCAGATTTGACATTTTGTTTTATTTTCATGTTAAGATATTAACAAGGAATTTTATGAATCAAATATTGCAAAAGATTAAGTAATAGAGGTCAGCAAGAAACAGTATACTTCTTTCCTTTCTTTTATTAGCACATTTTTAGTTTTATTGCTGGAACAAGACATTTTTATTTTTTTATTTTACTTTTATTTATTTTATTTTTAATTTTTATTTCATCTCTAGCTTTCTTGAGGTATACTTGACAAATAAAAATTGTATATATTTAAAGTGTACAATGTGACATTTTGATATACATATATATTGTGAAATAATTATCAGAACCAAGCTAATTAACATCACCTCACATCATTATGATTTGTGTGTGTGTGGGTAGGGGTGTGTGTGGTGAGAATCCTTAAGATCATCTCTTTTAAGAAATTTCAAGTATACCATACAGTATTATTTATAATTAATTATAGTCACTACATTGTACATTAAATCCCCAAATTTATTCATCTTGCATAACTGAATGTTTGTACACTCTGGCCAACATCTCACCATTCCTCCTTCCTCCCAGACTTTAAACAATCAATGCATTAAAGAAGAACTTAAAGGGAATTTTAAATGTATCTTGAGACAAAGGAAAATGAGGAACATGGCCAGGCGCTGCAGTTCACGCCTGTAATCTCAGTACTCTGGACGCCTGTAATCTCAGTACTTTGGACACTAAGGATCATTTGAAGTCATAAGTTCAAGACTAGCCTGGGCAACAAGAGTGAGACCCTGTTTCTACAAAAATTAAAAAATTGAGCTGGGCATGATGGCATATGCCCGCAGTCCTTGCTACTTGGGAGGCTGAGGTGTGAGAATTGCTTGAGCCTAGGTGCCGGAAGTTGCAGTGAGCTAAGATAGCACCATCGCACTCTAGCCTGGGCAACAGAGTAAGAACCTTTTCTCTAACAAATATTTTAAATTTTAAAAATGTTTTTAGAAAGAGAAAATGGAAACACATCATACCAAAACTTATGGGTTGAAGCAAAAGCTGTTCTAAGAGAAAAGTTAGTAGCAATAAATACCTACATTGAGTAAGAATAAAGATCTCAAAAAACAATTTAACATGCCCCTCAAGGAACTAGAAAGAGAAAATACAGAGCATAAAATCAGCACAAAGAAAATAATAAAGATCAGAACAGAAATATATGAAATAGATTAGAAAAACAATAGAAAATATCTAACAAAACCGTTAAGACTAGAAAAAAGGGAGAGGACTAAAATAAATAAAATCATACATGAAAGAAGATATTTTATAATTGATATCAGGGATGAAGAGATATCGGTTATAGGATAAAAAGTTTCAGACAGGATGAATAAATTCAAATCTTCTGTAGTCCATGGTTACTACAGCTAAAAGTAATGTATTGTATACTTAAAAATTGCCAAGAGATTAGATATTAAATGTTCTCACCAAAAAATTAAAAAGTAAATTTTAAAAAATAAATTTTACCATTTGGCAAACTAGTTTTTTCCTCTTTTCTATCAATAGAGTTTTATACTTGATTAGTTTCATGTGCATTATATCCTGAGAATATTCTTTAACATTTAGTGTAAAGAGTTGCAAATTGATTTTCACCATGCAGGTATATTAAACTGCATTTAACCATTTAAAAAACTGAGGTTTCTTTAAAAATAACATTTACTGATTCTACTATAAATAAAAGACATTCAGTAGTAAAAATTTAGAAATAAAATAAGAGATAAATTGAATCACAAATAATCCCACTACAAGGAATGGATCACTATTTCCATTTTGGTATATTTTAAGTATCTTTAAAATATTTCAAGCTAGGCACGGTAGCTCACATCTGTAATCCCAGCTCTTTGGCTGAGGTGGGCAGATCATGAGGTCAGGAGATTGAGACCATCCTGGCTAACACAGTGAAACCCCGTCTCTACTAAAAATATTAAAAAATTAGCCAGGCATGATGGCTGTCACCTATAGTTCTAGCTACTTGGGAAGGTGAGGCAGGAGAATCGCTTGAACCTGGGAGGCAGAGGCTGCTGTGAGCTGAGAATGTGCCATCGCACTCCAGTCTGGGCAACAGGGCAAGACTCCGTTTAAAAAAAAAAAATTCAAAAAACTACATTATTTTTATCTGCATATATTTACATTTTCACATATAAGTATAAAATCTCAGAAATAACATGAGAATCCTTTGAAGTCTTTAAATATTCAATACAAGCATATTTCCACTTTAAAAGTATGTCACTATTTACTACTTAAGATAAACAATGATATTATAAACATCCTTGTATGTATTATTTTGTATCACAATACTGTACTTAGGACACCCCACAAATAGAGATGTCACTGTATCAAAGAATATGAACATTTTTAAAGTCTCCTGCTTCATGATTCCAGTTCTCCTGAACATGTGTATTGATTCATATTCCAAACAGCATAATGCTATCTCCCAATCCTAATAATTTGCTGTATATATTAACTTGCATTTTTAATTACCCGTGAGATTGTTCTTTTAATGTGACCTTTAGAAATTGCTCACTTTTCTACTAGTTCATTAAAAAGGAGTTTTGGGAGAAAAAAAGTGCAATGCAGGATTTTGTTATAAAGCAGCCGTTTTGAAAATATGGAGGATAATGCACGGAATACAGCTATTTTATAGAGCTATTACTAGCTCCTATTAAAGCTATTATTCAGAATATGGGAGCTCTCACATGAAATGTTCATATTTTATTTTTCATTTCAATATAATCTTAAAGAGAATTATATTTGGATTATTTATCAAAGAGCATCACTACACCATTTTGGAACCCATAATGGCATTATATGAATCCCAAATCATGCCACTGGCTTATTTACAAGGTAAAATTTTTAATGGTTTGAAGAACAGTCAGTATAGTATTTATTTCACGCTTTAAAGCATTGTAGAAAATTTTTTAGGAATCAATCTGCAAAAGCATATTGATTATCAATTTGGTAGTAAATAAATGTATTCAATATCCTTTTAATTCAGATTTCAATAATGTGTGAATACAAACTTCATTTTCAAGTATACTACACAGATTTGGAGTTATCAAATAATACCATAAAAGTTGGCTACAACGACTGCTCCTGGCAAAATTGTGGTTTACTAGCTTCAAAGGGGAAAAAAATGTGTGAGGTTGTTAGTTCCAATTTATATAACCTTTTCATCAAATTACCATGTCAACTAATGTGACTAAAAATAGAAATAAACTTCAGATGACACTCCTCCAAACATCTCCAAATTTAATTTATTTAATTTTATTTATCTGGTTTTATAGCTACATTATTTCAAAAGAAAGAGACAGAAACATGCAGAGAGGTGTATATCCAGCCCCATTTATAACAGCAAATTGCCAGTAAACAATCTAAATGTTCAAAGAGAAAAACAGCCATGAAAAAAGAACAGTCACTCAAAGGAACCACACAACCACTGAAGTATGTTTGCATGCAAAGTATTGCTTTGAACAAAACAAAAATCTCCCACCTTTTCTCCATCTGCTGTATTATTAATATTACTATTTCACTTTTAAAAACTAAGCTTATTGTGCCAGACTATATTTCATTAATTTCCTTTCTATTTCCCTAGGAGTCATGTTCACACAGTAAGTTCTGACTAGAAACATACAACATTCATAGTGGATTCGTAATAGCCCTTAGGACCTCCATACTGGCAATATCAAGCATAATGGCTACAGAATAAGAGAAATTCCTGAGAAGCTTAGAAAAACCACAAGTATTTTTTATGAGACTTACTTTCATCATTTTCTCCAGCCTCAGATGTCACAGTAATGGTGAAGCTGGGTGGACTTTCTGATAATACTGAAAGAAAATACAGATAGAAGTTACTGAAATGTTTTCTAAGGCAGATGCTTTTTCCTTATTAGCAAATTATCAGCACCCAGCCCTGGAAACTGGTCCCTAGGCTATATTTCCATTTCCACAAATACAGACTGGGCAGAACATTGAAATGATAAAATTACCATCAACTTTCTATTTAAATGGAGGGTTGTCTTTAATCTGAAAAGAAATACCTATGGTAGGTAATACTTTTGGAGTTTTACCAAGTCAACTGAAATAATTAAGTAGTTTACCTTTTATTTCAAAATCTCCACCTATACATGGAAAATTACATTCTTAAAAAATCCCAGCATAATGGCAAAGAGTTTCATATTTCCCACCTGAAACTACCCATTGATATTCATGTTTCACTGATTTTTATACTTATATATTGTGAGATATAACTCAGAATCTCCATGACAAACAGTAATAGTGATTTGTTAAAGTTTGTGTCTTCTTGCTGTGCTTCTCTACCACATCATCTCAAACCAAACTATTCTTTCACAAATGCTTACTAAGCTTCTACCGTCTTTCACATAATTTAAAATGAATTAGCTATGAATCTAAACACACTGGGCAAGACACATAAATCAACATTTATATAAATAACAAAGCTTTGTATGTCATTTTATAGCCTATTGTCTGTCTAATGCTAATTTCTGTTTATTATCTATTTCCCACAAGAACACTGTAACAACTCTATGAGAGCTCCTAGATCAGTATCTGGCAGTATCTAGAAAATTAATATTGCCCCAATAAAAGAAGAACTAAATGAATATAATGAAAGGAGGAAAAGCAGTAACAAAGAAAACTTGTATTCAGAACCATTTGGAAAGAAAACAAAGAACTTCAAGCCACCAGGGATGGCTGCTAAGCCTATGAGAAAAGCCCAAGCCTCACTCCCTGTCCAGGAAGCACTGGTACCTGTCCAGGTTGGCAGCAGCTATGTAGACTTTTTCAGAAATAAAAGAGCAATGGATCACTGAAGAAGTAATCATGGAAACGATTCAACTTTTCCTACCTGGGAACTTTCTAAAGCCATCATAAATATATATTATCAACAGTATTTTCTGGCTGGGCATAGTGGCTTATGCCTGTAATCCCAGCACTTTGGGAGGCCGAGGCAGGTGGATCATTTGGAGCCAGGAGCCTGGCCAACATGGTGATAACCCACCTCTACTAAAAACATAAAAATTAGCCAGAAATGGTGGTGTATGCCTGTAATCCCAGCTACTCCAGAGGCTGAGGCACAAGAATTGCTTGAACCTGGGAGGCAGAAGTTGCAGTGAGCTGAGATTGCATCATTGCACTCCAGCCTGTGTGACACAGCAAGACTCTGTCTCAAAAAAGGAAAAAAAAAAAAACCACACAAATATTTTCAAGACAGATGTCTTCTTTTTAATTGAATTTACGGTACTTTAAGAAATGATGAACACCTATGATTACCAGAAAAGTGTTAGATAAAACACTCAGTAGAGTCATATTTTAACAGGTCTTGGGTAGTCCAGTTCATGCTGAAAAAAGTTTCAGCTCACTGAAAGGCTATTATAATAGAGCCATAATATGGTTGGCCTTGTCTACATTTTAACAAATATATGTAAAATATAGTTGATGTATTTCATTCTTATTTCCTTTCATGATCAACTTTAACATTTACAAGTCATGAAATGTAAACACTGCAACCATAGAAAGAAGGGATCAGCTCAATGACATTCCAATGTATTACCACTTTCTGTTTTTTTGACAAAATCTCACTCTGTCACCAAGCTGGAGTGCAGTGGCATGATCTTGGCTCACTGCAACCTCTGCCTCCTGGGTTCAAGCGATTCTCCTGCCTCAGCCTCTGGAGTAGCTGGGACTACAGGTGCATGCCACCACACCCAGCTAATTTTTGTATTTTAGTAGAGATGGGGTTTTACCACATTGGCCAGGGTGGTCTTGATCTCTTGACCTCATGATCTGCCTGCCTCAGTCTCCCAAAGTGCTGGGATTACAGGCATGAGCCACCACGCCCAGGCTCTTATTACCACTTTCTAGGACTCCATTAGGCTATTGGGGTAACCAATATCCAGTTACAACAGGTAACATTTATTGAGCATCACTTCGTGCTTGTGCTATGCTATGCATTTACACAAAAATCCTGTACTTCTGGCACAAGACCATGATTTATACTATTACTATATTCACTAAATTTTCAACGCCATCCAGTATGAGACATACTTTATGTACCACTAAGAAAGAAAAATAAGCTGCCAACTAAACCTACATGTAACTGATTATAAGACAAGTTCATATTTCAGAGATGTTAAATGTAAAATGTCTCAGAAATAATTAAATATTCTATCACCCCAATTTTCCAGATGTGGAAACTGAGATACAGAATTTTTCAATAACCTATCCAAGGGTAAAATGTCTCAGAAATAATTAAATATTCTATCACCCCAATTTTACAGATGTGAAAACTGAGATATAGAATTTTTCAATAACTTGTCCAAGGTTATCAGCTAGTAACTGAACAAACAGAGTAAACAATATACAGTATCGTTTAAAAAGAAAAACGTATTTCCAGCTGAGAAATTCCAAGGAAGTCATTTGAGCTAGGCTATGAATCATGGGTGGCATATTGGCAAGTAGAGATGGAGAAAGAAAATGTATTTAAGGGCGCCATGGAAGCAAGAGTATAATGGTACAAAAGCTAAAGATATATATAGGGAATAAGAAATTATTCCGTTTGCTGAACCTATATGTGAGCGAAGAAAACTAGGTGAAAATACAGTTGAAAGTTTAGTTGTGCACAATCTTTTTGTTAGCAATTATATGATCAGATTTGTTCTCAAAACATAGGAAGACAAATCTAACAACAATGTATAAAATGAAAGGAGGGAAACGACTATAGGCAGTATGAAACTAAGTCACTATTGCAATAATCCAGGCAAAGGTAATGAGGTCCTGAACTAGGACGGCAGCAATGGGAATAGCAGAAAACAGTGGTGGTGATATTTTGAGTTGGCAGTCTGCAGGCTGAGAATGTAATGCCACTAACAAAATGGAGTAATAACAAAAAAAATCAGACATGATATATTTTAAGGACACTTTAAGACTTTCAGTTAGAAGTGTTGAACATGCAATCAGAAATGGGTGAATGGTGCTAAAGAGAGCTGGGCTTTAATTCAATTTGGGATCACCTACACAGAGGTGATAGCTAAAGCCATTAGACTAAATGAGATCATCAGAAATGTAATACAGAGAAATAAAAGCCAACATAAGCTTTGTAAAGAATTCTCAATTTGGAGAACAAAGTAAGAGGAAGTAATAAAAAACTCAAGCAATAACAGTGTTATGAAAATCAAGGGAAATGAGTTTCAAGAACAGGTGAAGAATAATTCTCCTCATTCTACCCCATCCTGCCCACTGTCTCTTACCACAGTTTCCTAGCAAGCAGATTTTATCACATCGTTACATGCTTACAGCAGCAGTTCCCTATCTATATACAGTGTGTTGGAATGAGTTGTGAGAAAGGGGTAGAATCACAGCCAACATACTAAAAAACATGTGTAACTCGAAGTCTATTTTATTTGTGAAGCCACCCCATCTATTAGAATCTGAGTCTGATGTGGCAATGTCTACAATATGCATTGTATGGTCCGTGTGGGAATAAAATGGGCAATGAACTACTGCGCCGTCAGATCACATCTAAATCCCTGACAAGGCCTTCTGTAATGTGGCCCCAGCTTATTGGTTAAGTCTCATTTTCCATGACTCTCACTTCTCACTCTATGTTTTAGCAATACCCAAACCACTTGTCCTCTGAACATACTCTGATCCCTCACATATACTGCTTCTGTATATGTGGGTCCCAGGCTGGAATACCCTTTCCCTAGCCTCATCTACTTGTTGTCATTACTCCTAAACTCTCCGAAACAACTCAGACCATCTGCTCTCCCTAAATTTATCTGATGTCTGTTTCCCCAAGCTGAGCTCCTAAAAAATCACATATAATAACTATTTGGTAAATGAGGAAACCAAAAGATATGGGAATGTTAGCAAGAATATCAGTGATATGACAGACCTGGGGAGCCAAATAGAACAGGGAGGCAAGATGGACCAGAAAGAAACTGATGAACTATCAATCCATGAGAAATCATGAGACACATGTTCAGTAAACGCATGGTAACAAAAGTACTATAGGGCTACAAAGGTTATGGAAAGGAATAATTTTCAGTGGCCAAAATGTTAGCGATGGCATTTTCAAGGTGTGGCTATGCCCATGTGCAGCTAAAAGAAAGTGGAAATCAAAATCATTAAAGAGATAAGAAATTATAAAGCCAAATAAGTGGAAAAATTAACAACTAAGATGGTATTTCTAGTAAAGAGTATAAAGTATTTTCACTTACATTATTTCCAATTAAACAGATACAGAGACTAAGGCTTGGAGAGGCTAAGTGATTTGTCCAAGGACACTATATAAAGTTGCCACTACAGAGAAAAACAATGTGAAGCAAGTAAAACAAAGAAAAAAAGATACAGGGAAGTACTGCTAAAAGTCCCCCAATATCTACTCTCTCCTTATTTAAGTCATGCCATTTTTAACTGAGCATAATGGCTACCCAGAATAAAGACATTTCCTGGTTTCATTTCCAGCTAGCCCTTACAAAATGACTGAGTTCTCACTAAAAAAGATGGAAGTAGATGTGACCTTTGACAGTTTCCAAGAAATTTCCTTAAGAAACTGCCATTTTTTACTTCTCTGTTGCTCTTCATTCCTTTATTTATCATACTTCCTGGAGAGGGAATGTTACCATCTTGGCTATAAGTGTGAGACAACATCTTAGGGATGACAGAGAGCTTTGTTAGAAGATGGGTCCCTGAGAAATTCTTGAAATAGAGCTGCCACACTCTGTTTTACGTGTAAGGGCAAAATAAGTTTTTACCTTTTAATAAACCAGTATTATTGGGGATTTTCTGTCACAGCTGAACCTAATCCTATTAAAATAAATATTTTTTAAAAACAGAAAAAGGAATAATATTTCAAAGTTGGACAGTAACTAAAATATGGGAAAGTTACTTAATTAGATTTGCAAAAATAGATAATTCCTGAGTTCTGATAAAGGACTAATCCATTTCCATGCATTACTGTGAGTTAGGCTAAGTAGAAGAAAGATTAATCTTCACTAAGGATGCCAGACTTCCACCCCTATAAGTAAATCAAAATACTTTTGAGGGCCAGGTATGGTGACTCACGCTTGTAATCCTAGCACTCTGGGAGGCCAAAACCAGTGGATCTCTTGAGACCAGGAGTTCAAGACCAGCCTTGGCAACACAGCGAGACTCTAGGCTCTACTAAAAATACAAAAATTAGCCAAGCATGGTGGCACACACCTGTAATCCCAACTCCTTGGGAGACTGAGGCAGGAGAATTGCTTGAACCTGGAGGTGGTGGTTGTAGTGACCCAAGATCATGCTACTGCACTCTGGCCTGGGCGACAGAGGGAGACTCTCTCTCAAAAAAAAAAAAAAAAAAACTTTTGAGAAAAAGAGTAAAGCTGGGCCAGGTACAGTGGCTCACGCCTATAATCCCAGCACTCTGAGGAGGTAGAGCCAGGAGATTTGCTTGAGGCCAAGAGTTCAAGACTAGCCTGAGCAATGGAGCAAGACCTCTGCTCTGCTATTACTAAAAAAAGAAAAAATTAGCCAGGCACAGTACTGCAAGCCTGTAATTCCAGCTACTCTGGAGGCCGAGGTGGGAGGATCACTTGAGTCCAGAAGTTCATGGCTCCAGTGAACTGACTGGGGCACAGCACTCCAGCCTGGGTGACAGAGTGAGACCTTGTCTTAAAAAAGGAAAGAAAGAAAGTAGGAGGGTGAGGAAGGAAGGGAGGGAAGGAGGGAGAGAAGGGAGAGAGGGAGGGAGGGAGTAAAAGAGGGAAGGAAGGAGGGAAAAGAGAAAGAGAGAGAAGAAAGAAAGAGAAGGAAAGAAAAGAAAAAGAAAGAAAGAAATGTTGGCTATAGAGGAAGGGCAGGAGAGACATTAGGGGACAGATGGTGGTGAAACTGATAGAATTAAAGATTTGTCAAAAACAGGGATAATAGAGTTAGCAGCTAAAAGGTACATTATGAGATACATAAATTACCTTTAGTTTCCACAAAAAACCAGAGACCCCGTATTAAAATAAATACCTCTGGTTGCTAGGGAGCATCTGACCTTTCAAAAACTATGTCTTAGAACAAATTGCTTTTACAAGATGACTTCTTACGTATCTCAAGACACAATTTTAACTGTCAAGTGTGAATGGCTGCTACTTAGAGGTACTGACAAAGAAATACAGGATTATGTACTCCTCTTTGTAAGGCAAACAGAATTAAGGAAACTTGGCTTTTGGTTAACCTGATGCCAACAAATTTGTTCCAATAAAATTCCCCACAGCCAGAGATTTCAATACATAAATTGAAATAACCAAATTCTACTACCTTAGCAGGACCTTGTCAAGTGAAGCACTACTGAAGGAGAATGTGGTATCAGGAGAGTCCATTTATATTTTGGAAGACTAGTTGTTAGGAGGGTTGGATCAATGTGCAATCAAGCTACAGAATAGGCAAAAAGAAGAAATTGTATTATGATTTGTTATAATTCACAACAAATGCAACACTGGACCAAAAGTTTTTTGCAAATACTCAAGCAATTAATTCTGAGGTTAGGCTAAATCTATGCGCCTAGGTCTATGGGCTAGACTGTGCCTCTTCAGCATCTACATGGGGTCACATGTACTTAACAAATGCTTCTTTGTCAAGCACTCACCCATCCATTAAAAAAAGTATATCTACTTCCTTCATTAGTAGCATTGAGCATTTACCAAATTCAATAATTAAATATGATTCAAAATGAAGTTATTAACTCCCATTTAGTGTTCCTTGACCAACTGACACAAGCAAGATCTCCTTCTTAAACCTGGCATGAGAATACAAAGGTATGGAATCATAAATACAAAAGAAGGCTATAAAACAGCAAATCTTGCAAATCCCCAAGATTTTAAAAGATCAAACATGAAAACATTTTATCGCAAAGTCCTCTGTCTTTTCCCCAAGAAGTTTCATAAAGAACATGATCACTAGTAAGGCAAAGTTCCCTAAGAACTATAAATAAAGACATCTTGTTTTAATTTATTTATTGCAAAGCTTGTAGAAATGTTTACAGGAGTTAGAGACAGATGGCTCAACTGATAGTGCAGAATACCTGAATGCATCAAAAGATTCATAAACTGTCTTTTATTACCATGGCTCAGAATCCTCAAGCACTTGGGCATCTGATAAGAATTTCACATAGCGAACTATACCAGAGCTGTCAGAGCCTAGTACAATTTGAAATGCCCACAAGATTATTTCAGGGTTAAAAAAAAAAAAAAGATATCAGTTTTATAAATGCTTATATGCATAGGATTTAGTGAGGGATAGCTTATGCACAAAGAAAGGAAAAGAATAGCACATCCTGTGCTTTCTTGACACTGTCAACAGTTTTCACACCTATTATATTTCTAAAGTACTAGAAATGACCAAACATGATTAAGAATATATCCAACAACTGACCCTATATTCTATTTTAGACATAGACATATAAGCAAGGATAGAGAAGGGAGCCAGACTCCATACACACTCACCCAGTTAATGACACTCTCAAACCCCTCTTCACTCATCCCCTTAACATCCTCACAGCACAGATGTACTGCTGGTGAGAGAGAACATGAACAGGACTGGAGCTATACAGGGGTAGGTGAGAGACATCTGCCTGTTGGCAAAGCAGAATAAAATTTGCTACCATTGCAAGTAGTGGTCAAAAGGTGGAGCCAAGAAAACTAAGCTAAACAATGAAAGGCAGAGGGGTTGGAGTTTATGAGTTAAGGTATCACACCTTACACTATAAATTCTGACTATCAATGATAGACAACACTCAAAGGAAAGGATGGGGAATGTAAATGCACACACCTAAGTTCTACTCACTCACATTAGCTTTATTTGACCGCTTCTCAAATCTGATGAGCCATACTGATATAGTTATGTAGCATGTTTATAATCATCCGAAGCATGGCTTGCTTAATAGAGAATTCTCTTGCTTTAAATTATACCTAATGAACTTCTCATTATAATATTTTACATTAGCCCAACCTACCAAGTAATCTTCTGCTCCCCCCAATCTCAGCTGGAGCTGAATCCCAAGTCCCATTTGTCTGGAAGGTGAAAGAACAGGCAAGCATTCCGGACGTAACTCTTAGTACCAGCCCTGCCGCTAACTCACTGGCAGACCGTCCAGAGCAAGCCACTTAGCTTTCCTGAGCCCCTTCGACCTTGGCTTGCAGCAGGAGCCCCATGCTAGGTGATGTCCCTTCCAATCTAACAACCTATGAATTTACAGCGGAACGGAAATTTGGGCCACAGTATCCATTAGGCATTCTGCTGCATGCCAGATTTTTTTTAGTCTTTTATTATTTGTTTATTTATTTTTACATAAGAAAAGAAACCCGACAGACTTCAGGGACTACTCTATTCTCAGAACCGATCTGAGTAACTTAGAACAGCATTCAGAACCCCATAAACTAAAACATCGTACGAAAACAGTTTCTAGCTCAGTAAAGGTGAAAATGGTAAAACTAACATCCTTGCGGCACTGCAAGAAAGAATCTCAGTTGGAATATCTTTTCTCTTAATGTATTGTTAAGTCTCGGGTTGCGGTAGGTTACACAGAAACCAAAGTAATCCTGACTCAATTTCCAGGCCTGACACCCTCCAGCATCACTCTGACTTTTAGATTTCCGGGAACAAGCAGAGAAGGGAGAAAAAGTCACTGGGTTACTGGTAAGTGACTGAAGAACTTCAGAAGAGTCGGCAAGGTGGCCGCGCGGCCTCGCGGTCCCCTTTTCCACCCCGGCCCAGGAGGCCCAGAGCTGGGCGGCTCCTGCCCGTCCCACTCCTCCTCTGGGCGGCTGCGGGCTTGCGGCTGCGGAAGTCACCTGTGAAGGAGTCAGGGTAGATGGACTCCAGAGCCTCCAGCTCGTTGCGCTGCTCCTCGCCGTAATCTGTCATCGTGGCCCTTGCTCCTGCCCATGGATCGCCCAGACACCTAGGCGGCGCGCAGCTGCCGAGACAGCTGCCGCTCTGGGAGAGCTGGCCCCAGCCAGGCGGGCGCAGGCGCAGAGTCCTGGCTGGAAGGCCCAGGGCCCAAAGCCAGGCCCGGCCTGCTTAGCAACAGCTCCGCGCCGGCCTCTGCCTGCTCCCTACTTCCGCGTTCGACTCATTCTGCCTGGCCAGATGGGCACTGATTTAATGCCTGTCCCATACTCGCTCGGGATTTGCTGGGACGGTGTGTGCCGTCTGGCATTCGCCAAGGATACCTACAGGGGTCTCCTGGGCTTTGCAGGGCTTGAGCCTGAGAATCCTCTCAGCGCTTCATCCTCGCTCGATAAGTCTGGGCTGAAAGGCCGGCCTCGCGCGCCAGGGAGGGATAGTGTTGCTAGTGGCAGGTCCTGGTCTAGGATCGTTCGGTGCCTTCACCTTTTCCAGTTTCCGGTTTGACCCTGTGGCCTAGGTGCTGCGGGCTTGCAAAGTAGTGTGGACTAGTGGTGGGGTTCACATTTCTGCGCTTCTCGAACTACTGCTCCAATGGGAGCTGGATGAGGGGCTGGGACCAGTGTCGATTCCAGTGGGCTGGGGAGCAGAAGCTCTGCACTGCCTGAAAGGGTTCGGAACGGTCGGCTCAGCTGCTTAATAAGTCGGGGTGAATCGGGGGAGAAATAGACTGGCAGTCCGGAGGTCTGGCTTCTGGGTTCAGATCTTTAGTTTAACTTCTGAATTTGTGAAATGAACGCGGTGGGATGTATTGCAGATCTCAAGATGTCTGTGATTGTGTATCTGTGAATTGATGAAAGGAATGTAGATCTCAGTAATAACAGTTTTAATATGCAATGTAAAAATTGCAGTACCCCGAGAAATGTTGAGAACCTTTAATTTGGTAATACCACTTCTGAGAATAAACCTGAGGCAGTAACATGTATCTGTAATCTCCAAGGTCATCGCAGCGATTACAAAGAAAATTTTCAAAGAACGATGAGGGCAAAAACTGAGAAAATGGCTAAATAAACATGATTAACTTTATGAGAAGAATATTAACTGTTTATATTAATAATAATAAAGGATCCCATCTTCCTTTATTATATTATTGTGCTAAAGTGGAAAAAAATGGAAAATTTTAAGAAAATACTCAAAAGGTGTTCCCCACTTTTCTGTATTTTTCTTTGTTTTGATTTCTCTATATTAAAGCTGGTTTCACTTGTATAGTGGGAGGAACACTTTTTAAATGAAAGCTTCCTTTTTTTTATTTTTTTATTTTTTGTAAATGAAAGCTTCCTAATGATAAAGCTTCTGAAGTTTTCTCTTGTTGAAACGTTGATGTCCCATGGACAAGAAGGCACCTTGATCTTTTATTGAGGAGTACTGCTTACCTATAGCAGGGGAACACTTTAAAACAAACATACTCAGGCACACTTTGGTACTGATTCCGTGTTTACGATATTGAGGGTTGATTTCAGGCCTTCTTTTAAACTTTCAGGAAAAAAGTGAAGTCTCCTAACTATGGTGAGAATAAAATAAAACACATAAATTAACTTTGCAAATATAAGTTGCTCTCTCTTTTTTTTTTTTTTTTGTATCACCTCAGTTCTAAGGAATTATAATGCTTTGCTATCAGGAAAGAGCTGCCAGAGGGAACAGCTAGTGCATAAGTCCTAAGCGGGGAGTCAAGGATGATTTTTGGCTAGAACTGGAAAGATGAAGTTCTGTTGACCAAATGGTAAGTGAGGAAGACAAGAAGCAAGGGAGATGGTAGTACATCTTGAAATGACTACTGGATCAAAGAAAATCAAGCAAAAGTTTTTTCTCTTAAGAGAATAATAAAAACAACCTACCCAAAGAAATGAGATGCAGCAAAGCAACAAACATACAAGGTTGGCATTAGGAAAAGAAGGTTGCTTTTGGTTGCCAATTGCAATGTAGTAATCATAGTACCTTTTTATTTGCATTGCTATTTCATTAATAGAATTTTTGGTAAAGCATCCTTTTCAAACCTTATGTATCATTGTAAATCCTACATGCTTCAGAAGGCTTAAAAGTATTATTTTGATACTGGAGATGGCCGTCTGGTAATCATGAAAACACATCCCCAAATCTATGTCACACCTACATAAGCATTTTTTAGTGAATCTCTAATTTCATTTTGACCATAACACATGCATAACAGAACACAGCAAGTCCCTTAACTGAAATTGTGGAAAATTCTCATGGGGCAAATTGACTTTCTTTTAGTGGTTCGTTTTTAATTGGTAATTAAAGATGTTATAGACAAAGTATGTTTTAAGCTTTACAGGTAGGCAAATGATGTGAGCCATTGATATGGGTTGGCTATGTTCCCACCCAAGTCTCATCTTGTAGTTTCCATAATCCCCGCGTGTCATGGGAGGGACCAGTGGAGATAATTGCCTAATTCCCATCCTGTCCTAGTGATAGTGAGTTCTCATGAGATTTGATTGTTTTTTTTTTTTATAAGGGGTTTCCTTCTTGTTGGGCACTCATTCTTCGTGCAGCCATGTGAAAAAAAAAGATGTGTTTGCTTCCCCTTCTGCCATGATTATAAGTTTCCTAAGGCCTTCTCAGCCATGCAGAACTGTGAGTCAATTAAAACTCTTCCTTTATAAATTACCCAGTCTCAGTTATTTCTCCATAGCAGCGTGAGAACTATTAAGGCCATCATAGGATCTGGAACCAAAACTGAGAAGCCTAGCCTTAGTCTTTTGCAAGATACATAAGCTTATAAGATAATTCAGATAATATGAAATAATTTGTAAGCATGTTGTAAACTCCATATCAATATTATTTACCAGTAATTAAAAAATTCATATACCTTCTTATAAGCATTGCTATTCTCTGTTCATCTTTATTGCTAATAAAAAATGTGTCCCTAAGAGATTTATCTTATTTGTATTCATCTTAGTTTCTTCTGCAGGTAATGCATATTAGCAGTTGCTATATACTAATACTATCAGCCTTTAAAAATTCTTTTGATGTTTATTTTTACTTTTCTATGCCGATGAGTTTTCTAGGCAATCACACTACTCTCAGAAGCTCAGTGTTGAGAATTCCCTATTTAATGCTTGATTTTAATTCTCAAACAGTTCATGGGGTTAATGTTTCACTTAGGTATCTCAAAGACTTTTCACCAGTCACAAGCACAAAGAGCCATATAAAATTTTAATTTTGTGTACTCTGAAGAGAGATCTCCTCAAGGGTAGTGAATCTCAGTAATGCTTTCCATCCTAACTTACTTCCCTGGCCTGCAGTCTACTCTGACTCATAAGCACAGAAGCCAGAGTTACAATCTAAGCCAGTCCTTATCACTTCTTTGCTCATAACTGCCCCATTCTCAGTGCAGATTAAAGACCATGTGTTTATAATATAGGTCCTAGAGACTCTGACTTCCTGATCCTCATCCTCACAACTCTGCTTTCTCTGTCTTAGTCCATTTTCTGGACTAAGCTTATAACAGAATAGCTGAAACTGGGTAATTTCAGCAAGTTACTTTATTTAGGTGACTATTTGCCAATGCGTCAAAAGATGTAAGTAGGAGAATTTATTAAAAGTATATACAGTGAGCATTACATGTTCTTTTTTTTATTGCATTTTAGGATTTGTGGTACATGTGCAGAACGTGCAAGATAGTTGTATAGGTACACACATGGCAGTGTGTTTTGCTGCCTTCCTCCCCTTCACCCACATTTGGCATTTCTCCCCAGGCTATCCCTCCCCAGGTCCCCTCTCCACTGTCCCTCCCCTATTCCCCCCAATAGACCCCAGTGTGTAGTACCCCCTTCCCTGTGTCCATGTGTTCTCATTTCTCATTCTCTTTATTGCTTCTACCATCACCACAGATGGTGCAGACACCTGTTTTGACCACTGGGTGGCAGAAGAGGAACCCATACTTGAAATTCATGCGTTTTGTTTTGTTGCTGAAGTTCTGGTATACTGAAATTACAGAAGCCTAATCATATTTGGTTGTTAGTACAGAAAAATAATTCAGGTCAGGAATAATACAGTTTGCCTCTCTGGAAATACTATTCATTGCTGTTCGGTCCAGTCGTCACATTTATGGATTTACGCCCTCCTGCTCAAGAAGCCAGTTGTGTAGCTGTCCAAGCTCCTCCACCTGCCAGTATCTATTCTTTATTGACTGGTACTAAATTTCAGTAGACTCTATTTAGAAGTTAAAGTTGTATCTCCACACCCTATGTTTTCAAAATAGCAAAGACCAACCTAGACTTGCATTCAGAAGGTCTTTGATTGGCCATGATACTTCAGACTTTTTAGGATTAATGTAATTTCCCTTTGTGCTACAAACCAAATGCAAGAAAACATCTAGTAAAATCACACTGTTATTTATTATAATCGTGCATTATAATTTCAAAAAAAATGAATGGAAGACTGTGTACAGAGGAAAGAGACACAGAGAAGGACAGAGTATAAATGTGAGTCTACAGGTCAGCTTTGGAACACGTAAAGCTGAGTAAAACACATTTACACATTGGTTTGTATTTGTCTCCTGGGAAGGAGGCAACTTAGGTCATGGTGGGAGTATGGAGGACATAATGAAATTAAGAAAGGAACAGGTTTATATATGTCAAGCTCCAGGGTTTGATGTGGTAGCCGAAAGCATTTAGTAGCAAAATATAAAGTAGCATTAGCTCATAATTGATTTTAATTATATGTTTCATAATTATATAAATCCATTAAGTATAAAGGGGAGGCAGTACCATGTTCTTAATGACAAAGTTTCATTTAACTAGCTGTGGAACAAAAGAATACTGTAGATCACACCCCCCCCCAAGAAAAGACTAAAAATGCAATTTATTTGATTTGAGATAGATAATGTACTGTACACTGAAATCCCGGGGGTGTGCACTACCTTTTAAATATTCACATGGATGCTATAAATCACTCTGAAGCCATGTAGAAGAGCCAACGAATACTTAGAATCCTTTGCCAAAAAGTTTTAGGAGAAGATCATGATTAACTGGCTCAAAATATAAAATTTTTACATCATACACTCTAAGCATTTGATGTAGAGAGGGCTTCAGAAGCTAATGGAAATAAAGTTTCCTGGTATTGGGGTATAAACAACTATTAATCTTTCTGATGATGTAATGCTATAACTTCAAATATTCTTTGATTTTGTTGTTCGCCAAAAATCTTATTGAAGAGTCTTTACTGTGGTATAGTTTCTGAAAACCAATAAACTAATTCTGAGCGTGGTTGAAAGTGTTCATTTAGCTAGTATGTTCCAATACAGAAGAAGATTAAAAAATTATCAGATATATAGAAACAGAATTTTAGAACTGGAGCAGACCTTAGGAAGAAAAATGGATGTGACGCTCCATATTTACAGCTCACTTATATCAGAGTGAGACTAGAACCCTAGTTGACTTCAATAACATACTTCTATTTGTATTTTTAACATCATTCATTTAATGTCATATCAGTACTGGATGTAGAGTTAGTTGACAAACTGGAATGGCTTTCCTTGACTTGAAAAGGGTCAGTACATTAATTTCTTTTAAAAGTGGAATGCCAGTAAATGTCTTTCCTTGACTTGAAAAGGGTCAGTACATTAATTTCTTTTAAAAGTGGAATGCCAGTAAATGTCTTCTCAGTAAATGAGAAAGCTCAGATTCAGAGTTGGTGACATTTTCCTTCCAAGAGAAGCAACCTGGGTCTATTACCATTTCAGAAAGTTGTATCCATATAAACATAAACATTAACCTATATACCTATAAGCATAAAAATCGTACTTGATGTAAGAGAGACCTTAAGCACTTACTTAGTTCAGTTCTTTCCTTCCAAGAGGTAAAATATTATCATCCCTATTGTATAGATGAAAATAATCCAGGGCCCAGAGAGATGAACTGATTTATCCAAGGTCAAATGACAGCTGAATAATGGTGAGGGTGGGACAGTTCTCCTGTCCCAGTAAAGAACTACAATATACAGTCTCTTATTGGAGGACAAAACAACACCTGAAAACATTTTAATTTCTATTTCATTTTCTCCTTCTTCCTATTTAGTTCAAGGACCCAGAATTTTATGCAAAATAGAACCTTCCATAATTGTGTAAAAGTGGATTACCAAGTAATTGATTGCATTTTAGGTAGTAGAGTCAAGTTCCTTGGTTTCCTTGAAAGTGAATCTTGAAAATCGAATTGACTATTGGCAGTTGGTCCACTGTCCAGTAAGCATTGGTTTGGGTAAAGAAATAAACAGAAGCCCTTCAGATAGCTTATTTTTGCTAATGAGCAAGTTGCTTCAGTGAACGTAGCAAAAATAAGGCATGAGACACTATATATCACAGAAATAATCTAGACAAATTAGAAAATTGTCAGATACTGTAGTCTACATTTAGTAAAGCCAGGCAGAACAACATCAAGCAGGAATTATTCTCTTTTGGAGTTACAGATAATGGATATAAAAGTACAAATTGCAGTTTTGGTTCCAAAAATGGATTTTGAATTCAAAGGTGCAATTTGGTAATGAAAAGGTACCAATGGTATCTCTGTAGTAGAGCACAGTGAAGAAGCTTTCTAGACGAAACTTTATGTGCAGTGGCCATAAAAATGCTTCTAGTATGGAGGTACTACAAATAATTTGACGCTAATAATGGTACAATAATATATCATTGTCCCCCAGTTGATAGTAGGATAGCCCAAGACCTTGCATGGGCTTCTCCCTCACATGTTACTGGATTAAAAAGGGGATTTTGTTCTGCTTCCCTCAAGGTCAGATATTTAGGTCTGAAGAAAGAAGGGGAGGCTGTGAAAAGTTGTGGATATTAAAGTAGAAACTGATAAAACCAAGAAATACATGCAGGGAAAATAGTGATAGAAGACATGGAATGCAAAAGAGAAAGTAACATTTATTGGCATCTATTTTTATGAAAAACACTGTGCTAAATACTTTGTGTTATCATGTTTAATTCTCACAGTAGCTCTAGCGGGTAGCTACAATGTGCAGATGACAAAATAGCTCTCAGAAATATTAATTTTCATACAGCTACTAAATAACAGAACTAAGATGCAAATTTCCATGTGAGTTCACATTCCGTACTGTTTTTAATTAGGCCAAAATGACACTCTAGGCATTACCAGACCATTGATAAAATTTCAAAAAGAGAGATTGGCACAATTATCTAATAAATTGATTTTAGAAATATTTGAGATGGGCTTATATAAACAAATATCAGAAGAGAAAGAAAAAGATGAAGAGATTACACTGAAACATCTTGATCACAAAAGCCAAGTGTCTGCTAAGCAATCTGACTTGTAAAAGGTGCTGAAATCAAGGTTTTAATTCAATACCTCTTGATCTGTCTTCATTATCCTCATCCACCCTATCTCCAAGGAAGCTATAGTGACCTCGCAAGTCATCACCTATGCATAAAAGAGTGGGTACTGAAATTTCTTTCCAGTCCTGACAAGAAGGAATACGGATGTGTTTGACATCCTCACTTCCAGGAATGAAGCCAAATAGCTTCTTTATGCGCTGCATGATGAGGAGCCGAGAGTGCTGCTCTGCTGCTTGTTCAAAGAGTTCTCTCTCATTCTGGAGGTGGCTGGTCCAGTAGCAATGTTGCAGAGAGGTGAGGGGAGAGCAGCACCTTGCCACACAGCAGGAGACTAAGACAGCAATGGTTGTCAAGGTGATCAGAATCCAACCTAGCATCTTCACATCATTATTAAAAAGAAAAACAGGAAGTATCAGTATATCAACTATTCAAGCAACAGCCATGGGAAGAGGGATTCCTATAAAACTAAGCACTAAAATATGGGTATAAAATTTGTTTTTCCCATCTTTAATATATCAACAAGGTGCTAATGATGTAATTTGGAAATAGGTCTGATGGAGGGCATAGGCCCAGCCATTTCAACTTGGTTTTTGAGTTCTTTCTAACTCAAGTTAACAGGTTGACCAGTTAACTTGGAATGGATTCTAAGTACTGTCCTTAACGTGACAGATGCTATAACCCACCAATTAACTTACATATGATACGTACCTTTCTTTGCTTTTAGTTCAATCTTACTTCTCAACTATCATGTATAGGCCTATGCATTCTTTGGGTGTTTAATAAATATTTGATAACAATGGTGACAAAAATGATGTGATACATAATGATGGTAACCTAAGGTGTCTTCAATGAGGTACCAACAAGTATTCATTGATATTTCTTTCTAAGTTGCTCTTTCCTCTTATCTTTTGCAGCTAAAGAAGCAAGCCGGAAGCAAGCCAGTGAACAGACTCATGTTTCTAAATGTATTATGAATAGCATAGTTGGGGGCGTGGTGGCTCACACTTGTAATCCCAGCACATTGGGAGGCAGGACAGGTGGATCACTTGAGGCCAGGAGTTCGAGACCAGACTGGCCAACATGGAAAAACCGTATCTCTACTAAAAATACAAAAATTAATTGGGCATGGTGGCACATGCCTATATTCCCAGCTACTTGGGAGACAAAGGCACAAGAACTGCTTGAACTCAGGAGGCAGAGGTTGCGCTGAACCCAGATTATGCCATTGCACTCCAGCCTTGGTGACAGAGTGATACTCCACCTCAAACAAGGTAAAATAAATAAATGAATAAATAAATAGCACAATCACTGTGCCATGTAGTACCTTATTGTTTTCCTTTTCGTTTCCCTTGTCCTCAAATAATAATTTGTTGACCAGTTTTATTATGTGTCTTTGAAACATTCTTTAAAAGGAAAATGAACTCGTTTTTGAGACTATTTAGTGTTGGCTTTTAAAGATTGACTCGAATGGCTATTTTCTATTCTTAGATTTTTTTTTCTTTTTATTGTACTGTTTTCAATGTTTTGCACTTCTTATGTAAAGTGAGAGAGGTAAGTTCCACATATTTAGGGATGCCAGCAGTGTGCAGCCACAGTTTGAGTAGTGAAATCCTCTTCTGCATCTTGTGATTTACCAACAGGCCTGGAGTTCCCAGTGTGTGCACAGTGGGATAGTTGTACTCTATGGAGGCTGAAACCTACAAAGTGACATTTATTACCATTTAATTAAACGGAGGTCAGCCTGGTGGAGGAAAAAACATCCCAGATGCCCATTAACCTATAAACGATCATTTACTGAGCTCCAGGTTGACCTTCCCCCATGTGTAATACATGTGCTTGGTTATGGGGAACTCAGATGTGAATAATTAATATGCGTTCATTTTCTTTATGATTTTTAAGCGTGAAAAGGGACACATATGATCAAGCCAAGAAATATGGCACAATGAGATAGTTTTTGATATGAGTAAACAGAGCACCTGAGAAAGCACAATGAAATGAACTCATTTACGGGAAAGGAGTATCAAGGAATACTTCCCAGAGGAGATGATGCAAAAATCTAAATTATTAAAAAGAAGTTCATCAGATGCAAGAAGGTAAAGAGAGTTCTAAGAGGAAGAAAATGGGAAAATAGCATGCATAGTTTGCAGAAACTCAAGAAATTTGGACTCACATGGTCATAGGGTTCATGTAAAAGTGTTCAAGGGCCAGATGTTGAAGCCTTGTATGTTATGGCAAGAAATTGGGTTTGTTCTTAGGTTAGTAGAAAATTACTGAAGGGCTTTATATGCAGTAGGGAGGGAATCTCATTGTTCAATTTGCATTTTGGAAGATATTTTTGGCATATTTCTAGAAGGTAGATTGAAATGGGGTAAAGTTAATGTCAGGAAGATATTTTAGAATGGGGCATGGGCAAAGAAGAGATTTGAATTTAAGGTGATCTTGTGGTCAACTCACAAAAATCTAATTGAAAAATAACGTAAATTTCTGAAATGCAGTTGAAAGTTGAGACAGTCACAGAAGACGGCCTAGTGAAATGGAAATAGCATGATCTTGGGATATCTTGCCCCACTTTATTAACCCTGAATTATAAAAGTTACATAAACTTTTTGAGCTTTGATTTACTTATCTGTAAAATGGGGTGGTAATATCCATCTCTCAATATTATCAGGACTGGAATTAAGATATGAAATATTTAGATAGTATGTGATAAGTACATCAATTAATATGTTTTGTTGTCACAAAAACAAAAAAATTCACTGGCAATGGTACTCAGAACTGTGAAACCGTCTTTATAGAAATCTGTGTATGCATTTAATAACACATTTTATTTTGACTTTAAGAAAATCTTACCAATGCTTATTACATTTTAGCTTTTCTTAAGCAAGAAAATTATTTTAAGTCATAATTTTTGCATTGATATTTTTGAATTTTCCCATATTTTTACATAGTTCCTCTGTCTGAGCATTAGGGCTAGCATTAAAAAAGTTAAGACATAGCATATCTTAATGGGATTTCTAACTTTTTTTAAACTGGGCCATATTGCAATAACTTGATATTCCGTGTTTTGATAGTAGCTTTTTCCAAATAAATAACTTTAGCATTTCTGAAATGTAATAACTCTAAGGTTACCAGTCAAAAACTATGCATGTCTTTGCAATGAGTAGTTTTAAAAAGCCATGTTTTTACTATATGATAGTGGTTTCAAAATGTGTTTTTTCTTCAAATCCCTTCAAGAAATTGATAAGAGCCAATGTCACTCTATCTATTGACAAAATGCACCATGGCCCTTTAAAAATGTAACCTATACATGTAGTAAGGTTCAGGCTTTCTTCCCACCCCACTCCACTTTCTGACATAAATCTATCCATAGGTACAAAATTTAGAATCACAATTGGAGTTATTTTTCATCACAATTAAGCTTCCTATAGTTTTAGATGAGATATTACTATATAAGGCTACATATTTAGACTATGCAGAAGATGGGGTTTACTAAAGAGCAATAATAATATAATAATATCTAAAATCTATTATTCTTAATATAGATTCTAGAAAGTGTATTAAGCACTTCAGATATATTGGTACATTTATTCCTCACAACCCCATGTGGTAGGTGCCATTAATATCCCCATTTTATTCAAGATTTTGCAGTTTAATAAGTAGCAAAGCAAGACTAAAACTTAGTTCTGCTGGCTCCAAAGCCCAACATCCTAACTATATGTATTTGCTCAGTAGAACTCACTTCAATGAACAGCATCTGGTATTGTGTTCCACAATCAGAGAATACGAGAAGCAGTAGGAATCTGAAATGTTTCCAGTGACTGTCGTTCTATGGGATAACATAGCAGGGGGAAAAGAAATTTAAAAACTTACCTGTGACTGGAATCTGTGCAGAAGAGCTATTTCATCTCTTACTAGGATCACGTCAGCAGGAGCTGATCGGCAACATGGAAACCCAGCTAGGATCTCTTCACGTTTGCTGGCACTGACATTATCAAACACTGGGTAGTGGTCCACAGATGCAAATTCACTTGCTGCACATTCATAATACGTTCCCGTCAGCAGGGTCACCGCCAGCCAGGTTAATGGAGCAACAACTGCCCTCCCAGTGATGCTGAAGAACCTAAGGCAAGCCAGCTTGCACTCCAGGGGGCTGATTCTCCTGTATTGAGGGGCACAGCTGCAGCAGTATTCACCAGTAATTGTCCACATTTGGCTTCTCAAAGCAAAGCCAGCGATCAGAAGGATCAAGGCAGGAATAACCAGAAAAGCGGAACCATAATAGAAATTTTTTCCAACCTGACAAGGACAGCTGAATGTGAAAGAGGAGAAGAGTTGTCCACCAGTAGTCAAGGCTGCAATTAAAGAATTGATAAATATTCCATTTCTCTGCAGAGAAGACACAATACTGTTGAGAGTTGAGCACATCATGGAAAGTTCTTACACAAATCAGCTTGTGGCCCTTTCTGATCATTAGACTCCACCAGCTATAGCCATTTTATGGGATCTTACTGGTTTAACTGGTTGTGTCAAGTGGCCCAACATCCTTACATGTTTAAAGGATTCTAGCAGCTTTCCTTGTATACTTTGAAACCCTGAGATCAGAATGATTACAGCTGAAAGAAATTGAGGGAGAGATTCTTTAGGTATGAATGAAGGGGGGAGTTTCTTCATGTATCTTTGTACTATAATAAAAGGAGGGTCGCTTGCTCAGAAAGCAGACTGCCTCCATCTTTCTATGTGCTGCTTTGTATGACACAAAATGCTGAGCCCAGCAAATAGAGCATTGAAAGAAAAACAGAGACATTGTTAAACTTGTGCTAGACCAGAATCTTGTCACCATAAAATTATAATAAAATGAATGATGTAAATTATTAAATACTGGGGCAATCCAAAATTCAGGGCTGGCTGGAATGTTCCTAAGCGTTCTGCTAGAAGATCTCAAAAGATTTTCCAAAGGAAAGAACAAGGCTAGATGCCCCTAAAGCCAAATCACAACAAAATGTTCTAACTTTGCATAAAAATTTAAAATTCTGCTTGCATTGACAGATATTGCTATGTGCTGCTTAAAAATTTAAGTTGCAGATTTGTTTATATGTATCTTTCTGTTATATGAAAATAAGATATTTGGTTTTTAATAAAGTTATATATCTACAAACAAAAAGTAAGGTGTTTTCCTGTATTTAATCAGCAAATATTTATTATAGAATTTCTATATAAAGGTCACTGAACTAGGCTTGACTAGGTTTATAACAAGTGAATATGACATACATTTTTCTTCTCAAAATTTTAACTGGACATGGTTAAATACATAATTAGTGAATGGAGATGTAGTACTGAGAAATTCACCCAAAAATGCAATACCAACAAACAAAGAAATAAAATAATTACTTTTGAAAACTGTTGAGCAACTACACAGTCTTCTGGTAGGAGTTCGGGAAGTAAAAAGGAAGGAATAGACAGGCAATATTTGAAGAAGAAATAACTGAGAACTTTGAAGAATCAAAGAAAAGTTCTTATATTCAAAGAATTTTGGTTATTCTGAGCAATATCAAGAAAAATGAATGCACAACTAGACACAGAATAAAACTGCAGAATGTGAAAAATAAAGAGATCTTTTTTAAAACTACCAGAAAGACAAAAACAGACAACCTACAAAAGAATGGCAATGACTGACAGCATACTTCTCATCAACAACAATAAAGACCGGAAGACATTATCTTCAGAGTGCTCAGTGCCAGCCAAACTATCATTCGAGACAGAGCAAAATAAAGACACATCAAGGCTAAGGGAATTTACCATACACAGAACCTCATTAGGAGGATTACTAAAGGATGTATTACAGCAAAAAGAAAAATGAGCCATGAGGAAAGACACAAGAGCAAAAAATAATGATGGGTACAAGTATAATCTTTTAAGAGTTCATTAGCTTGAGAAATAACTACTTTTTATTTCAAAAGATACAGCAAAGGCAATATATTATTATAATAAGATGTCACTACATATCTACTAAAATGTCTAAAATAAAAATATTGGCTATACCAAATGTTGGCAAGGAGGCAGATCAACTGAAATTCTCATACCCCGATGGTTAGAATGTGAAATAGAGTAATCACTTTGGAAAACAGTCATTTTATTTAAAAGGTAGCCCTACATCTGCCGTATAACATAAGCACATAAGCACTTGTCTCCTAGTTATTTACCAAGAGAAACGAAAGTACATGTCTACATGAAAACTAGCACATAAATGTCCATAGCAACTGTATTTAGAATAGCCAAAAGCTGGAAACAACCCGAATGTTCATCAACAAAGGAATGGATCAACTAAGTATTATACATTCATACAATGGAATGCTACTCAGCAAATTAAAAGGATAAAACGGTCGAAAGTAATGGCAAAACCCACAATTATATTTGCATCAACCTAATATATATTAATACAATAACATGAATGAATTCAGAAATAATTTTCTGGATGAAAGAATTTAGAAAAAGGAGCACATAATGTATGATTCTTTTAATGTAAAATTCTAGGAAATATAAATTAATCTACACCAACAGAAAACAGACCAGTGCTTGCCTAGGCAGTCTGGAAGTAGGGATAAGAAGAGAGGGATTATAAAGGAATATGAGAAATATCCCTTTGTAATTCTGGGGTTGTATCAACTTGTGTCAGCAGAATTTTAATTTAGGGAGGTAACTGAGTGACAACACAAAGAGGCCAATGCCAGTTAAAGAATTTATTGCCACATAAGGTCATAGGGGTGCATCAGGTTTGGTCAGGGGACAGAAGGAGGCAGGGAGAGCCTAGCTAGAGTCTTTATTGGGCACTCTGTAGAAAAGGCAAGTCAGCGCAGGGAAAACACTTAGGGTTGGCTAGCTTAAACAATTCTGATTGGCCTTAGGGCACAGAGGTAGCCCTAATTGCCTGCAACCTGGCCATAGTTTATTTAGGAGAGGGTAAATATTGGCTTGGTATATGAGAATTAAGTAAGGAAGTGGTTCAGAGTATGGGCTCTGATCACAGGGGAGATGTAAGCAACTTGGCCATTATTTGACCTTGTAATTAATGGATGCCAAATAGACAAATACAGATTCTGAGAAAACTCAACTAGAACAGGAAAATGTTAATTTTGCTTGAAATGTTAATTACATTGATTTATTTTGTGGCTTCAGCAGTATAAGTGCAATCACTAAAAGTATAGAAATACAACGCACAGATCATTCAAAAAAGAGGAAATACAAAAATATTGGCAGAAAAGGAGATGGTAAACAAGGGAAAGAGGATGGTAAAGAGAAAACAGAAAATAAAGGTAGGAATGGGACTAAATACATTAATAATCACAGCAATCTTTTTTTCAACAGCTAATAATTACTGACACTAGGCGCTGCTCTAAGAACTTTATGATATTTAGTTCCTACAATAACCCTATGAAGAGATACTAATATTATCCTCAATGTTTTTACAGATTAGAAGACTGAAGGGTGGAGAGATTACCCAGGGAAACTGCTCTGGCACTTCTGCCCATCACACAGATGAATGAAAGTGCCAGGATTGGGATGCAGGTGGTCTGACATATGCTTTTAACCACCATGCCAGAGCTAGATTAAACCTACCTAGAAAGTCACTGAAAAATAGAGTCATGCTGCTTACAAGTAACACTCTCAAAACTATACCACACAGTGCTTCACAACAAAGGTACTGAAATATATATTAACAGGAATAATAATATTAATAGAAGGCAAAACTGAACTAAAGACAAAAAGTATCAAAAGAATTAATTTTGGCAATTGTCAACTTGTAAGTCTGTGATTGCATAACTTTGAAATACATAAAGCAATAACTGATCAAGTAAGGAAAAATTCTTATGGAAAGATATTTTTAATATGAATCAAGTAAATATCAGAAAATATATAAAATATACAAAGAACAAACTTAGCAAGTTTTGTCTAAGAGATAGTGATATCTATATATCTATATCTCCATATATAGATAGACAGTATTCCATGCCCTAAAAATAAAGTATAAACATTTTTGTAAGTTTTTTCAAATATTATTTGCCTAAATGTATTGATTAATAAACCATGATAATAGAATGCTTTAGAATAGGAGTCAGCTGGCTCATGGGCCTGAGGGAATGTGTTCTCTTTCCGGGTCCACAAAGGGGCGTAGTTTTAGGGGCAAGAATTTCCCAGTTCCATGCCCCCCTCCCATCTTTCTCCATCCAGGAGATTTAATGGTTTATGTTTGAATTTCGTGGGTACAGGAAGAAACTAAAAGTCAGTCACTCCAACAGAGTTCTAAGGAATGCCTTTCATTGGCCCAGGGTCTTGGAGAAGGTGGGGGTTCCTCCCAGGATAAAAGTCCGTATCTACACACCTGGCCAGATTTCCCCTCTGGAATCACCTTCCACATTCTTCATGGAAGTCTTTTCTTCTCTTTTCCCTACCTAAATAAAATCACCTTTCTGCAACACTTCTTGGGTCCAGTTACTTTTACGAGCATATGACACACCTGCAGTGGTCCCATCGCTTATTCTTTAAGAGATTGGAGACCAAGAACCCACAGCATTCTCTCAGTGGATCTGTGCCTCATCAGCACCCAAGAAAAAACCCACTTACAGGCCAATATGGCCCACTGCTAGTCTTGTATGGCTTATGAGCTAAAAAATGTTTTTTACATTTTAAAGTAGGTGAAAAATTGGCCAGGTGCAGTGGCTCAATACTGTAATTCCAGCACTTTGGGAGGCCAAGGTGGGCGCATCACTGGAAGTAAGGAGTTCAAGACCAGCTGGCCAACATGGTGAAACCCTAAACACACACACAAACACACACACACACACACACACCAGCCAGATTTGGTGGCACATGCCTGTAGCCTCAGCTACTTTGGAGGCTGAGGCATGAGAATCACTTGAACCTGGGAGATGGAGGTTGCAGTGAGCCAAGAACATGCCACTGCACTCCAGCCTGGATGACAGAGCAAAACTCTACCTCAAAAAAATATAAAATAAAATAAATGACAAATTTAAAAAATATTTTGTGATGTGTAAAAATTATAAATTTCAGTGCTTATAAATAATGTTTTATTGGAACATAACCATGCCTGTTGCTTAAAAGGTGTGGTGGTGCTCTGGTACTACCACAGCAGGGTTGAGTTGTGACAGAATCTGTGTGGCTGCAAAGCCTAAAATATTTGCTGTCTGGCCCTTTACAGAAAAAGCTTGCTGATCCTCTGCTATAAATCTGTGAAAATAAATGATCTACAGTGACAGATATGGATATGAATGAATTTTGACAAATAGCTTTGAGAGAAAAATGCAAGCTCTGGGATACAGGCTGTATGATACTGTTATACAAAGTGTTAAAACATTCAAAATCATATTACATATTCTTTATAGATACTAACACATATAGAATTTTAAAACAAACATAGGAAACATAAATATCAAGTTCTGGGTAATATTGACCCAAGGAGGAAAGAATAGGATTAAGGAGGGTACAAGAATTTCAGCTGTATTAGTACTGCCTTACTGCTTAACACAAAGCTGTGGCTTTGAATGTGGAGAAAAGGAAACTCTTACACACTGTTGGTGGGAATGTAAATGAGTACAACCACTATGGAAAACTGGAGATTTCTCAAAAAAATAAAAACAGAACTGCCATACAATCCAACAATCCCATTTCTAGGACTTCCAAAGAAAAGAAAATTAGTATATCAAAGTAATACCTGAATCCCCAAGTTTACTGCAGCACTATTCATGATAGCAAAGATATAGAATCTACTCAATCTAAGAATCCATCAACAGATGAATGTATTAAAAAATAGTACACATACACAATGGAATACTGTTTGGCCATAAAAAAGAATTAAATTATGTTATTTGCAGTAACGGATAGAACTGGAGATAATTATATTAAGTGAAATAAGCTAGGCACAGAAAGACAAGTATTGCATGGTCTCATTCAAACATGGCAGCTAAAAAGTCGATCTCAAGGAGATAGAGAGTAGAATGATAGGCATCAGAGGCTAAGAAGGGTGTGTGTGGGGGAGTAGGAGGATGAAGAGAGGCTATAAATATACAGCTAGATAGAATAAGTTCAAACATTTGATAGCAGAGTAGGGCAGTGTAACTGTAGTTAACAGTAGTGTATTGTACATTCAAAACAGCTAGAAAAGAGGTCTTGAAATACTCTCAACACATAGAAATGATAAATACTCTAGACGATGGATACCTGAAATATCCTAACTTGATCATTGTATATTCTATCCATGTAACAAGGAATGACACACACCCCATAAATATCATGTATCAAAACAATAATTTTAAAAAGCAAAGACTGAAGTGTATATAGTGACATGTTCAGTAAAGCTTGATAGTAAATACCACATCTTTCCTTAAGCTTATAATTTTATTTTTATTTTTTGCATATATATACATTTTTTTGAGACCGAGTCTCACTCTGTCATCCAGGATGAAGTGCAGTGATGTGATTTTGGGTCACTGCAACCTCCACCTCCTGATTTCAAGTAATTCTCCTGCCTCAGCCTCCTGAGTAGCTAGGATTACAGGTGCCCTCCAAGACACCTGGCTAATGTTTTTGTATTTTTAGTAGAGATGATGTTTCACCATGTTAGCCAGGCTGGTCTCGAACTCCTGACTTCAGGTGATCCACTAACCACAACCTCCCAAAGTGTTGAGATTACAGACATGAACCTCAGTGCCCAGCTTCCTTATGTTTGTAATTTTTATATTTGAAAATCAGCAATTAAAGTACAGATGGGTCCCCACCTTAAAATTGTGTGAAGGCAATATACATTCAGTGGAAACCCTACATCAAATATGCATACAACCATTCTGTTTTTCATTGTCAGTGCAATATTCAATAAATTACATGAGATATTCAATTTATTATGAAATAGACTTTGCATTAGATGATTTTGCTCAACTGTAGGCTAATATAAGTGTTCTGAGCACATTGAGGTAATCTAGGTTAAGCTACGCTGCTCAGTATGTGAGGCATATTAAATGCATTCTGACTTCTGATTGGTTTGTCGGGATATAACCCTATCACAAGTTGAGGAGCATCTGTATATGGGGAGTGAGGAAGTGGGGAAGGAAATTGTAGACCATTCTTTCAGGGAATTCCGTAGGAAAGGATGGAGGATTGATTGACTACAAGTCACTGTTGGGCCAGGTGCGGTGGCTCACACCTGTAATCCCAGCACTTTGGGAGGCCAAGGTGGGCAGATCACGAGGTCAGGAGATCGAGACCATCCTGGCCAAATGGTGAAACCCCGTCTCTACTAAAAATACAAAAATTAGCTGGGCATTGTGGCACATGCCCATAATCCCAGCTACTTGGGAGGCTGAGGCAGGAGAATTGCTTGAACACAGGAGGCAGAGGTTGCAGTGAGCCAAGATCACCCACAGCACTCCAGCCTGGTGACAGAGCAAGACTCTATTTCAAAAAAAAAAAAAAAAAGGAGTCACTGTTGGAATGTAAAATTCTTGCTGTAAAGGAGTTTGTAGATGATAAATTTCCAAGTTTTTATTATTGTTTACTGTTGAAAGAACTAACCACTTCATCTGCAGTACAGTATGTAACTTGTCAATGACCATGAATGATTACGCTTAGGAGTAAACAGTTTTCTTAGTTCTTTTGTGATGCTATAATACTTCAGACGAGTAAACACCAGAAATTTATTTCTTACAGTTCTGAAAGCTGGGAAGTACAAGATCAAGGTGCTGGCATTGGTATCTGGCAAGGGCTCTTCTCTGCTTCCAAGATGGCACCTTGTTGCTATATCTTCACGTAGCAGAAGAGCCACAAGAAGTCTAAGCTAGTTCCTTACAGCCCTTTAATAAGGTGAAAATTCATTCACAGAGGCACAGCCTTCATAACTTAATCACTTCCCCAAGGCCCACCTCTTAAAACTACCACAATGGGAATTAAGTTTAAACACATAAATTTTAGGGGATATTCAGACCATAGCAGTCTTTATAGTCAAATGGTCTCCTGTTAAAGATAGTTTGCTGTCCCCTGTCTATCCAATGCATAGCTACCAAATGTCTCCTCCTCAGCAGGGACCCATCAGCTTGTTTACTAAGCATACAGGGACACACAGTTAAAGAAAGTTGGATCTGAGCTCTAGAGCTATCCTCAGGGGATTGAGGTACAGAGAAAAATCACACACCAATTTTATGTAAAGAAATAGGGTTAAAATAAACAGCAAAAGCAGCCTTAAATAGAAAAAGAAGTTGAAAAAACATAATAATAAGTCCTTGGACCAGATGTTATGGTAGCTAGAAGTAGCTTTGTCTTCTCTGATAGTTTGTGGGTGATCATAAAACCTGCATATCAGTGGATGTCATCCTCTATTAGCGCCTTCCCAAGTGTCTACTCTGCTGCCCAAGTATTCTCAAAGGATCAGCATAGGGGCATAGCTCAGTTCACCATTTACTTGGGTTGGTTGACTGCAGTGCAGTTTTTTGAGACTGAAGAATGCATCTTTCTCCTAATCCCAGTTCCAAATTTAGTCCTAGCAAGCCTAAAGAACTCTTAGTGAAACAGGACAACTTTGCTTATGCATTATCTCGAAGTAACTCTCTCTCTTAGTTGACTGCCAGGGCAGACATTATGGATCATGTTCCTGTTTGAAACATCATCTAGTCTGAAAACCAGCAAACAAGTGTCCCCTGCGATGGTGAGTACAGTTGTGGTCATGCAGGTTGTGCTTTGTACAGTAGCACCTGGCAGGGTCTCTGCTCCTTCCTCAAGCTCTGTGTCCTGGCTAGAAGGTCATAGGGCAGGGGAGCGCCATGTCAGTCTGAAGTAAAAGTTGGCTTTTTCAAATACACCCAATGACATCCTGAATTCTCCCAATGGCCCTAATGTGACCATACCACAGCCATTAGAGTTTACTGAAATTGATTCCACTACCACCATCACCTCCCAGCAAGCACACAGGCCCTTTTTTTTGGTGCCAAATTTCTTTATTTGAAGGAATGGTACAAAGAACGTAAGTGGATGTTTTGGTACAACTTACAGAAAAGGTAAAGGAAACCCCAATACGCATGCACTGCCTTGGTGACTAAGGAAGTCACCCGGTGGCTATGGGGAAATTAGCCTAAGGCTTAGCATTCATTATCACTGTCTCCAAGGGTGTGCTTGCCAAAGAGATATTCTGCCAAGCCAGAATGGGGTGCTCCCATCTTGTGCAAGTTGGTCACGTGGTCACCCAATTCTTTGATGGATTTCATCTGCTCATTCAGGTAATGCGTCTCAATGAAGTCACACAAATGGGGGTCATTTTTGTCAGTGGCCAGTTTGTGCAGCTCCAGTAGTGACTGATTCACATTTTTTTCCAAATGTAATGCACACTCCATCGCATTCAGCCCGCTCTCCCAGTTACCATGGTCTGGTTTCTTGATATCGTGGAGGAAGATGAGGCCACTTCCTTGGTTCTGCAGCTTCATCATTTCTCGGCATGTTCCCTCTCCTCATGAGATTGGTTAAGAAAGTACTTGGCGGCCGGGCGCGGTGGCTCACGCCTGTAATCCCAGCACTTTGGGAGGCCGAGGCGGGTGAATCACGAGGTCAAGAGATCGAGACCATCCCGGTCAACATGGTGAAACCCCGTCTCTACTAAAAATACAAAAAATTAGCTGGGCACGGTGGCGCGTGCCTGTAATCCCAGCTACTCAGGAGGCTGAGGCAGGAGAATTGCCTGAACCCAGGAGGCGGAGGTTGCGGTGAGCCGAGATTGCGCCATTGCACTCCAGCCTGGGTAACAAGAGCAAAACTCCGTCTCAAAAAAAATAGTACTTGGCAAAGTAAAAGTTCAAAGTTCAAAGCCACATTATCGCGGTCAAAGTAGTAAGACGTGGACAGGTAAACAGGAAGCCTAGAGCTCCAGGTTGATTTGGCGGTAGATGGCGGCCTCTGAATCCTGGTGTTAGTTCTGGCGCACCTGCGAAGGTGGTGCGGGCGTCATGGCGGCGGCTAAGGAGAGGCTGCGATGGAGGTGGCTGCGCGGCGCTGGAGAGGCAGGGACCTTGGGGCGGTCCGAGGACGCGGTGTGGAGGTGACTGAGGACTGGCTGTGGGCGGCCGGCCGGCGTCGGGGAAGAGCGCCGGTTCCGTCCAAGCACTGTTGAAGCAGGAAACCGCGGCGTCTCTCAGCGAAGAATGTCCGCATACAGGCCCCTTCTATGTTGTTCTCTGGGGTATCTTACTCAGAACTCAATATTGTCCACAAATTGACCTAGCAACATGCTGTCACTACACCTTAGTAAGTTTCTGTGAGTCTACCTCTAAGTTTGCGCTAACATAATTAGAGTATGTGCAGTAAAAAAAATTTTGATTTGGAATCATCAAATTTAGCCCAAATCCCTCCTGTGGCCAACATCCAGATAACCTTGAAAACATTCCTCAACCTCTCTACTTCTAGATTCTTATCCTGTAAAATGGCCACGATTACAGTACTGTTTCACTGATTGTGTTTCAATTAAAATGAGATAAAGAGAATGAAAACCATGTTTTAAATTGTAAATTTGATATACATATAAGTTGTTAATAATTGCTGCTAAAAAACTCTTCACTCCCACCCCATAACTAAGTAGAATTAATTTTCCTGAGATCATAGTGTCATAGAACAAAAGCAGTGATTTAAATATTGTAGAATTCCATTCAATTTATCCAACCACAAGGATAACTTACAGTAACTAGTTTTTATATAGTGCATTTTAATGTGTTTTATGGCACATCTCGTCCCTTTGCTTCCCACAATTATCCTGTGAGGTGGGTGATATTGTTTCCATTTTGCAAGTGTGGAAACTGAGCCAAAGAGCAATAAAATAGCTTGCCCAAAGTCACACAGCCAGCAAATGGTAGCTCTGCAACTTAGCCTGAGGCTTCCAAATCCTCCTAGGTTCTTTCAACTACACCACACTTTTCTTCAAAGTATTCCTGTGTCTGTAACTTTATAGCAAGAATTTGCCAGAACAAATAGGACTAATGGACTCAAACTATAAGTAGTAGAAAACTACTTTCCTAAACTGAGTTTTCCGCTTCTATTTCTGGAAAGATTTTGATCCTCCTTGCATCCTGCAGTTGTCAAAGTGAAAGGATTTTTTACTTGAACTTTCTGCATATTGAATTCTGCATTTGAATATTTCTGCATAAATAAAGAGAGCCTTCAATAGCTACCATCTCAGGAACTCTCAAAAGAAAGCTAAGGGCTTACTTTCTCTACTAGTATCATTATACGTTATTACACTGTAGAGCACCCATTTTGAACAACAGTTTTGTAGAAAATATTGCTTGTTCTATCACTCATTAATGTTCTTGGTTGATGCTAATGAAAAGAAAAAAAATGTTACCAGATATATTTGAATATTACAATCATACAAAATAGGGGTCTATGGTTTTGGGTACAATGTGATAACCACTGATGTCATTAATGAATCAGGTTTGAACTCAGGATTTATTACCTACAGATTGCTGATCTTGTCTCTCTGATTCTTACAACAATCAATCCAAGACTGAATAATGCTAACATTTAGATCTATCTTGGATTGTGAAGGTTTCTGTTTGTGGTTTTAGAACAGTGCCTTGGCATAAGCACAAAACACCACTCTTGAACTCCCTTGGGCTAAATAATTTTTTGTGTCTCAGTGCTTCAGGTCTGACTTCACACTATCAGCTTTTATGGATCTGGATTACAATTCTTCCTCAGAAATCAAGCACTTATTTGATCTGTGGAAAGTTACGTGGCTATAAGACAATCCTGTTGTTCATGGTTATTTTCCTCTTCAGCTCAGCAAAGAGCAAAAGCCGTAGAGTGCAGAAGCAGCACTCCTGTCTGAAAGCAAGGAAGCTCTTAGAAAAACAAACAAAAAGACATGGACTGATATACCTCTAAGAAACAGGCAAAATCAACAGAAACTGAAGATCACATTCTTCATCTATCAAGCACTATGTCTCGCCCTGCACACCGAAGACCAGCATATCATAAAATAGTAAGATCTTTCTAAAGAGAGATTTTTCTACTTCAGAGAAAATGTTTTCTTGAGTGATTTCTGATTTATTTCAAAAAGTGATGCTATAAGAATTTTTAGTGGAGGAAAGAGAGTGTTCAGTGAGGTGAATCCTAAGTGACACATCTAGGAATAATTACAATTAACTTGCACACAAAGAATAACCAGTTCTTTATACAGACTTTAAGGTCTTCTTTTCTGACTAATTATACACATACAAACGTCTATTTTTTTTTTTTGCCTTTGACAGAAAATATGAAAAGATTAAGCCATTTTTTGTATTTCATACTTCAGGAAATAGGAAATTATATGTATGTATGTATATATAATAGTTGATTACGTGTAAAACTGAACAGAAATAGGTCGTCAAAAAACTAGGTATTAAAAGAATTGCCTTTAAAAATGTTTCCTAGTTTTATTGTAACTTGGTATGTAATATTATTCTTTCTATATATTCCAGGTTAAGAGTTATTTACAAACCTTATTTTTTTTGCAGGTTAGTTTTAAATAACATGCTTTAATACTCTCTTGTAGTTTTAGTCATTCGGAAGCTACGGATACAAAAATTCATTGTTAGCTTTCGAATTCTGTTAATTATTTCAGAAGACTGATGGGGATTTGATATAATTAAGTAATTTCAGACTTGGTGTTTAGAATTGTAGTGACTAAGGGCATACTTCAGTTTGAAATGCCTGCAGATACCTCCGCTGGCATTCTGGGTTCTTCATTTATTTTCCTGTGGGGCTCTCAAGTGCTGAAAAATATGGTACATAGTTCATATTATATCTAAATCACTTGATTTTATAAAGTAGTTAAAAAGTATTTTTATACTGATACATTCATAACCTACTGAAATAGTAAACCATGTTCTTTCAAATATTCACATGATTATTTTTACTGTTTTAAAAACTATGAAGATAAATTTATGTTAACCTTTCCTGTCATCTGTGGTATGGATTTGAGACCCAGCTGAACAGGTAGTTCAAGGTACAATCCTTGGCCATGAAGCAGAATAGAGAAAGCTGGCCTTTATGGGTACTGAATCAGAAACATGGCTGAAAATAAAATAGGTTTAAAGATAGAGTAGTGCCCACCCATCAGGGACAGAGAAGAAATTCCATTAGTCCAGTTTGACATAATTATAAATGGACACAATGCTGGGGCCATCGCATGTAGGTAGGGTATAATTTTTTTCTACTTCTCTCTTTTTCAAATTCTTTTGTTTTACTGCCAGTCAAAACAAACTCATCATTCTTTCTCTCTCTCTCTCTCTGTCTCTCTCTCACCTCCCACCATTCACCTTTACTTATCTTTATGCTGTAGCATTAGTATATGGCCACACTTTGTCTTCTGCTGTGGCTCCTATATGTTGAGCAGACTTTTCATTGGTAATTTACCAGCATTTCTTGTGATTTATTATTAGGTTCTTCAAAGAACCCTAAGTCAAACCTAAATTGTCTTAAGTTTTAGTTTTCATTTATAACTCACTCTAAAAATGGGACGTATTTTGGAAATCTATAAGGAAATATCACATTCCCCTTTTTTCTCTAAGTAAAAAGAAAAGAAACTCACAAATTTGCTGCTACATTTGGGTTTATTTTGAAGGTCTCCTTGGCAGATCTGAGAGGCATTAGGGATTGTGCAGACTCCTGAGAAGTCTTATTGAATTCTTTCTTCCAGCTGAAAACATGATTGGCATATATTTTAGAAAAACAGAAATTTATGTTAGAAATTAGTATTTCTAAACAACTGTCTCCATGAAAATACATCGCAAGTTATCATGTAAGCAAATGCATAGAAAGATGTTCTCATGTTAAATTCATTATATTTGCCTGCAATCCCAGCACTTCGGGAGGCTGAGGCAGGCGGATCATGAGGTCAAGACATTGAGACTATCCTGGCCAACATGATGAAACCCCGTCTCTACTAAAAATTACAAAAATTAGCTGGGCGTGGTGGCATGCGCCTGTAGTCCCAGTTACTTGGGAGGTTGAGGCAGGAGAACAGCCTGAACCCAGAAGGCAGAGATTGCAGTGAGCTGAGATTGCGCCACTACACTCCAGCCTGGTGCCTGACGGTAGAGCAAGACTCTGTCTCAAAAAAAAAAAAAAAAGAATTTTATTTAATAGCTCTCTCTCCCCTACCCACATCAATGTACCCAAATATGAATATAATTTGTTTTCAAAGAGCAAATTGTTGCAATAATAGGAGGAAGAAAAAAATGTACAGATGATCTCTAAGTCTACTTCCAACCAGATTTTGCTAAAAAAAAAAAAAAGAAAGAAAGAAAGAAATATAGTAGATACTGTCGTAACTTGCCTATAACAAGAAACTACCCCTTTTTCTCCAGAATAAAGATCTCTTTGTCCTTACCTATGGAGCTCTGGTTGCCCAGCTGTGTAAGGATTATGAGAAAGATGAAGATGTGAATCAGTATTTAGATAAAATGTAAGTGGAAGTCTTTCATTCTTACAGAATGTCTGTTGTTTCTTACATCACCTGCATTCTTTCGGCCTCTGATGACTTCTCTTGCTTCATTTCACCAGCTGTTCTTCTGTCTCAATGAATCACATCTGAAAGCTGAACATAATTTCTTACAAGTGCCATTTGGGTTGATAGAATAAAGTAATAGGAAGGAATTTCTTTGATAAGAATATCGAGTGTGGGATGTTTTCTCTTTAGTTAGAAATAATTTCTTTTTTTTTAATTTATTTTTTATTATTTATTTATTTTTTTCTTTTTTATTGCATTTTAGGTTTTGGGGTACATGTGCAGAACGTGCAAAATAGTTGCATAGGTACACGCATGGCAGTGTGTTTTGCTGCCTTCCTGCCCCTCAACCACATTTGGCATTTCTACCCAGGCTATCTCTCCCCAGCTCCCCCCCTCCCGCTGTCCCTCCCGATTACCCCCAATAGACCCCGATGTGTAGTACTCCCTTCCCTGTGTCCATGTGTTCTCATTTTTCCTCACTCAAAACAGCATGGTACTGGTACCAAAACAGAGATATAGACCAATGGAACAGAACAGAGGCATCAAAGGCAGCACAACATATCTACAACCATACAATCTTTGATAAACCTGGCAAAAACAAGCAATGGGGAAAGGATTCCCTGTTTAATAAATGGTGTTGGGAAAACTGGCCAGCCATGTGCAGAAAGCAGAAACTGGACCCCTTCCTGACACCTTACACTAAAATTAACTCCAGATGGATTAAAGACTTAAACATAAGACCTAACACCATAAAAACCCTAGAAGAAAATCTAGGCAAAACCATTCAGGACATAGGAGTAGGCAAGGACTTCATGACTAGAAATCATTTCTTAATTATAAGTGACTTAAGAGTTGCTTATAAACAAAAGATGTGGTAAAATTGAAATTGTTCTCTTAACAACACAAGGAAAAATCAAATTTATTCCTTTCAGAAGTCTTTTGTTCAAACATAATTCCTTCCAATATAAATATGTGCTTACACAAGCACAGGCCATCTATAGAAAGATATGCAAGAAACTCATAATGGTAATTTCCTAAGGACAGGATGGGGAAACTGGGAATTATGAATTAAAGGGAGAGTTCCTTTTGTTTAATATAGCATTCTTATTGTTAGAATGTTTTTTAATTATTACTATCCTTTTCTTAAAAACATATTAGGTAGAAAAACCCAGGCCGGGCACAGTGGCTACGCCTGTAATCCTAGCACTTTGGGAGGTCATGGAGGGTAGATCACGAGGTCAGGAGATCGAGACCATCCTGACCAACAGGGTGAAACCCCATCTCTGCTAAAATACAAAAAGTTAGCCGCGTGTCGTGGCGCATGACTGTAATCCCAGCTACTTGGGAGGCTGAGGCAGGGGAATCACTTGAACACAGGAGATGGAAGTTGCAGTGAGCAGAGATCATTCACTGCACTCCAGCCTGGCAACAGAGCAAGACTTTGTCTCAAAACAAAACAAAACAAAACTACTTCTTTCTTTTTAAATGAGACCCATTCTCTTTGTCTTTATTATTGAAGATTCCTCCTGCACAAATTCCACGTTTTGATTTTCTCTGAATAACTATATGATCATCAGATGATTGCCAAACAATAAAACATCTGTCAATGGTTTTTGAACTTCTTAATTATAAACTCTGAAGAGGACTCTAACAGAGCAAAGACTGGAAAATGTGTACTGGGTTACAAGATTTATCTAGGTAGATTGAAGGAGAAAGTTAGCCTAACATTTTAGAGCTTTTTGAAAGGCTTCGTTGTGTTTTCAGTTGACATACAGAAAAACACAACGTAAGGGAAAGATTGAAAGATCTTTTTTAAAAACTCTCATTTTTCTTCTTTCTGTATACATAGACTTTTTCTTTTAAAAACGTTCTATTTTTGTACACATGCCTTTTACTTTGCATTTCTATTTAATTAGTCAAGGGCACTCACAAAGAAGAGAATTGCCCAACTGTCCACCTATAGATTTTTCAGTCACTTCCTTAGCTGAACTGTTCATAGCTGTGAGAAATGTTAATGTCATTTTACACTAAGGTCACACTTAAACATCTGACATAGCATTTTCAGAAATTACTTCATTTTATTTGACTTATGTTAAACTTGCATTGCTTTGTGAAATAGCTGTAGAAAAATAAAAAAGCTCACTGATTTGACTAAAAAAACCTTTGTTCAGCTAATTGAGTACATATTTAACAAATAGGAATGAAATATTAAAGAATAAATTTTTGAGAAGCTGTAGAAAGATGTTTCCTTAAGAAAAAAATTCACATTTAGATTTCCTTAATAGCTTCTGCTGAGAGCCTCTTACATTTTTAATTTATAAAATATCTACTTTGCAGAAACATATCCTTTGACCAAAGCAATATGTGTAGATATAGCACAGCTCATAACATTTTGACTTCTGACCACTGTTCCCAGGGGCTGAGCTGTGGATACGCAAAGTGATAATTAAAAAACAGTGGAGGCTGGGCGCGGTGGCTCACGCCTGTAATCCCAACACTTTGGGAGGCCGAGGCGGCCGGATCACGAGGTCAAGAGATGGAGACCATCCTGGCCAACATGGTGAAACCCCGTCTCTACTAAAAATACAAAAAAACAATTAGCTGGGCGTGGTGGCACCCGCGTGTAGTCCCAGCTACTCAGGAGGCTGAGGCAGGAGAATTGCTTGAACCCTGGAGGCAGAGGTTGCAGCGAGCCGAGGTCGCGCCACTGCACTCCAGCCTGGCGCCTGGTGAGGGAGTGAGACTGTCTCAAAAAAAAAAATAAATAAATAAATAATACACTGGAAATATTTTTTAATCCTGATACAACTGTTTCTGTAAAGTAGACATTCTGATTGTTAAAAGTCTTTGCAGTGTGAGCTTCTTGGCTGAAATTATAAACCATTTTTCTCTAAAGTCAAGAAAGCTAAACTGAGTATTTCTATCCACTCAGAAATATAAACAGGATACCTCACAAGATTTACTGAATTCATAAGCACTCTCACATCAAATCTGTCTCCCTCCACCACCTAGTTACCAGAGAGTTCACCTCTTTTTAAAGCCTCAGGAGTAATCATTGCATCTGAACACTGTGGTGTCTTCCTGGGCATTTTGTGGCTCCATTGAAAAACATTTCACTTGTCTATGAACATGTGGCTGTGAAATTAAAAGACCAATTTTATGACAGAGGTTTGGCAAAAACAGTATTCCGTTTGATTTCCACCATGAAGGTTACATTTTCTCAACTAGATTGCAAGTTCTTATAAAACAGAGACTCGGACCTTTCTTTGTGTCCTTTTGGGAAATTTACTTGTTTCTCAGTTTATCTTGCTGAAGGTGTGTGCCCAGCCACCTTAGCCACATATTCGGTGTGTATAATCACATCTCAATCAAAGGTTTTCAAAATTATACTTCGGGCACTACTAGAGCTATTTTCTTGGGGTGGAGATAATACAACACCTTCCCCTAAGTCCCATAGTTTGTTTCCCTGGAATGAAAAATGAGTTTTCAGAACCTGGCTGTGTTTTTGTTTGTTTGTTTGTTTTTGGTAAACTTCAGAGTCTGAAGTTGTTGAAACTTTCACTGGCAACAAAAATTTTTTCTGCTCCATTCTTCCCCTCCTTCCAGAGCCCATCCTGGAAATGTCAGCCCTTTTACCCTGATAATGATGCTAAGAGAAGAGCAAGCAACCATACATATCACAAACATAGCAGACACTTTAGCAAGACGCTCATTTGATTTCTGTCAATAGCTAACGATGAGAAAATTAGTTGCCACTAAGAAACATTAGGCTACAGACACCAGCCTCCCTTAATTTTAATTTATATTGTCAAGTTTGGGTCAGTCCTGATTCTAGGCAGACTCTTTTGCTTGTAGGAGCCCAGTTAATATTTCCTTGGTGTGTTGCTCTCTGCTTCTGTGGTCTGTGGGACCAAGAAGAAACCCATGGCCAAAAGCCATTTGACTCATCGTTTGATTTGGGTTGTGATTCACTGGCACAAGTTCTAAATACAAAAATCCCTTCTTAAAAACTGATAAACTTCACTAATTAGAATTTTCAGACCACATTTTTTCCTTCATCCATAGGGGTTACGGCATTGGAACGCGGCTTGTGGAAGACTTTTTGGCTCGATCCTGTGTGGGAAGATGCCATAGTTATTCAGAAATTACAGACATAATTGCCCAGGTAACTGTGTTTTTAGCTCTGCCAATACATTTTGAAAATCTCTGATTCTTTTTGAATTTGGTGGTTTTCTGCTCGGCTTGGACAGGTTCCATCTCTGCATTCATTGTTAGGTGCTGAGAAAGGAGATTCTGATTGAAAAGCATTTTATTTCAGCACAGAGATAAAGCTACAGTGAACTGAAAGATGCATTTAAGCAACTGTAGATTTTCCTGACTAAACTTTTCCTAGTGTGAGACATACACTCTACACAGTGTGTATACACTCTACACAGAGTGTATGTCTCACACTGGGAGAAGTGTTTCCAGAAGGTAAACAGAAGGGGAGTGTAATAGGGCTCATTATACTGACTCATGCATGCCCCCAACCAGTTTCTTTATGATCATTTTCAGCACACGGAGGGAGACAGTTTTCGGTAGTATCAGAGACTATTGTTGTAGTCATTCCCAGGGTATTGTTTTCCCAAGAGAAAAATAGAACTTCCTCTAAATATATTTGTTTTAAGAACTTTCATAGCCCTGATATGTAGGAGACAACTTGGAATCATCCAGGATTAGCTCACATTTATCAGTAATTAAACTGGAAAATGCATCTTTAGACAGCATTTAAAAATCTTGGCCTATGTTTATTAATGCAGTGTTGTTCATTTATGGGAGACTCAGAAGATATGCGTGTCTCCAGGTTTACACAACTGACCAATTAAGTTAGTCTTATTTTTTTTCTCTCCTAGTGCTTAATATTGTTATATATGGCCAAACTGGCTCTGTGCATGAATGGCTGTCATTCTATGCCATCATGCTCTCTGAGCCTAAATGCAGTTTTACATACTCTTTGTCTTTCATTGTCATGGTAACCCTCTGAAGTAGGCAGAATTGGAGTTACTATCCCCACTTTCCAGATAAGAAAACTAAGTCCCAGAAATAATATGATAAACAGTGAATATGTGGGGGAAAATTCTACATTAAAAACATAATCCAAATGAAAGATTTTTCCATTTACTGATATTATTATTTGTATTATTTCATGGCTAGTGAATAATGTGGTTGAAACTGTTACCCCAGTGGCTTTCAACCTTAGCACAGTGAGTTTATCATACCACTAACCAGGTTGGGGAAAAAAAGTTCCTTTCTATGTTGTCAGAATATAAGTAAGATCTTGAAGTGGTAGACTGAAAAATAAAATAATTTTAATGAAATTAATTATATGGGCAATACTACAAATTTCCATTCAAATACTAGCTGTTTGAATGGAAAGTAAATACTTGTAATGCGTAAATGTAGATGGTTGTGTTTTGTTGCATTTCTAGTCGGTATCCCCCTAGGCTTTTTGATTAGTAAGACACAGTCTCTCTATAATGAGGATGATCACATTGGTTTGAGAATGACTGTCTCTTGATCTTTGCCAAGAGCTCGGGAGATCGAGACCAGCCTGGCCAACATGGTGAAATCCCATCTCTACAAAAAAAATCACTGAAAAGCTTCTGAAGGGACTCAGAAGAGATAATTCCACATATTCCTTTTAATCAGAGGAACATAAAGGAATAAAGCTTCTCTAGTAGAAAATAAAAACGATAACTTTAAAAAATTAGTGTCATTAACTTCAGAACAGCTGCTAACAAATATCCCATATAAATCCTTCCCAGAGACAGCTAAGGAGTCTCATGTAAAACTTTCTTGTTACTTGTGGTCCTCAACCAGGATATTCTCCATTCTCTATTAGTCACAGAAAAATTACAGAGCTTAAAGCCAAATTAAATATGCCAATAGGAAGTATATGTTTATGTGGGGCCTGATGTAGGACTTCTTACTTGGTAGAGACTCAATAAAAATTAGTTAAAAGGAAAGAAAAGAGGAAGGGAAGAGGGGAGGAAGGAGGAAGAAGTAATAAAAGCAGTCGTTTGTTTAGGCTTCTTGGAAAGTTCCTTTTCTTCTGCAGAAGGCAGCCTGGGAATGCTCTTCACCTTGCCCAACACATTTAAAGGCTCCTCAAGTCCCTTCCATGAGGAACTACTCATTTTACCTGACAATGAAGTCTTCAATATGTGGAAATAGAACAAGAGTTCTTTGAATGCTCCAGATTAAAAAAGAAAAGATTGAAGAAGAATCCAGTAAGAAATGTTCTTTGGAGAGCATAAGAGAGAAAATGAATTCATATCTCAATAGAAAGAGTCCATGAAAAAAATGCAGAATGTTTCTCATTTCAGAAATTATATTCAGAAATAATATTCTGTCTTTAAAAGAATAAAGAAGCTTCTAATGAAATTTGACCTCCTAATGATACACAATTTTCACTAAGTTAGAAACAGGTCTGTTTGATTCTCCTCTGTTAGAAACATGTACAACATCTGCTTTCCAAATATCCCTTCTCTAAGCTTTTTATGTCTTATCAACCATTTTGACGAATTCCTTTCCGCATTTTCTGTTCTCAGTGAATAGGAAAAAGATCCACTTCCACTCCTCTGCAAGATTCTTTCTTGTCAATGAGGAGAATATTCATCACCTTCACCCTTCTCTAGTGTAGGTTGGTTGTCCCTGCTCTTTGCACCTTCCTTCAAAGGCCTGATGTCCTTCCTCTCAATCATTTTTACTTCTCCAGAAAAATGTTCCTTTACTTGTAGCAATAATGTCACCCATTTCAGTAGGATTTTGACACAGATGAAAGGCCAGACTTTAATTATGGACCTGCCCACTGAGGCTTTGTTAATAATTAGCAGCTTTCATTAAAACGTTGGGTCTGAGGCAGCATTATCTCATTAATCCTTATAAACTCTCCTCAGAGAAGGCAGCTGCCAAATGATACAGTCAGTTTACAGAGAACTAGGCCAAGTTCAGAAGTTTACTGTAGTCACACACTGCTCCCAGAGCACAGCAGAGTCAGGAATAGAACCAAATGGCTGTAAAATTTGTTTGGCTGCCCTCTCAGACCACAAACTTCTGCAGAACACCATCATCATCCTTCTCAAGTACTGAGCACCTAGAGACCATGGCACCCATAGAACTCATGGTCTCTGTCCTGTCTCCAGGTAAGGAAAACACAGAGAAGGAATCTATTTGAAGAGAATTGACTAGATGAAGAAGTATGGGTATATCCTATACCCAGACAGAAGTGATCCCTCCTTGTTAGTAAAAAGACTGCATGTAGGAACAGGTTTCCTGAACTTACGCTGCACTCTGCACGTCTCTGCCTTTGCAAGAGAAGGACTGTGTAACTTCGAGTAGTCATAACATTCCTCTTTCTTGTTTTCCTCAGTTGTTTTTTTCTTCATAGAGGAGGTCAGTCTGTCACTAGGCCTCTGACAATTTCTTCTAAGTAGTAGACCTTAAGTTGCGCCATCTAGTGGTGAAGCTAATTAGATATAAACTTAATCATTAAATCATGATTATAAAGGCTAGGCTTGACAGTAACTATAATAATCTTGCCTTTTGAAAGTGACTTGGACACAGGAGCTGCGGTCAGTAGATGAGGACTGGCCTAGCTATGTCCGATGTAGTGTAGATTAAAAAGGAAGAGTCTACTTCCTACCCAGCCACATTCCCACTGTGTTACTCTGAGCAAGCTTCTTAGGCTGTCCAAACTTCAGTTTCCATATTTGCCGGAAGAGACCTCTTTCAGCTGTAATTCTCCTGAATTTCAGGTATTACTCTCACTAGCTACCATCTGCACACTGAATTATAATCATAAATAGCTGAGTGTGGTGAATGTAGCTTCCAAAGCCTCCTGCCGAGCATCTATACCTTCTAGTTACTGACAATCTTTATCACTGCTTGCCCTTGCACAAATTATGTTTGTCAAAGTTGAGAAAGCTTTTTGCTGTCAGATCTATGTCAATAAGATGATTACTCTGAGGGACACGGGGGAATTTATCATTTTTCAGCGTAAATATCACATATTGTTACAGTAAGAGAAGATTTTTAAATAAAGAAAAAATACAGCATAAAAAGACATTAAACTTGAAACTCTGATCTTTAGGTTAAAAATCGTTTTCTAATATACTGTACTTGTTGGAAATTCTGGAAAGTAAACGAAGAGATCTTTTTATAGTATAAATAGAAATTTCACCTTAATTAAATAATGTGAGCAGTGATTTTAGGGGATGTGTAATATAAAATCAAAGAAATGTTCATAGAAAGCAGTATGAATGAGGATGCCTACAGCAGGGAAGTAAATCTAATTTTATAAGCATAAATTTAGGGCAAAAGATTTAGGCACATAATCCAGAGAGGAAACAAAATAGCAGAGGGAATTTTTTTCCCAGTGGATGAATCATTTTTATTTCAATAAAATGGTACATTTGAGATTAGAGTTGAGTATACACAGAAAAATTTCAGCAAATCATACTAGGCATATTTTTTTCTTCTGCTTCTGATCTGAATGCACAAGACTACTATGACTGAATCTATAGGAGGAACGAAAACATTTCAAGCCAAAACTCCTTAGCTGCTTTAGAATGGGGAGAGCACGAGGGCCATAGATTTTCAATCTCCAGTACAGATTTATGCCCAGAATCACTGATCTGAACTTCAACAAGAACATCCAAATCTGATTTTATTAGACATTTTCAGAGGGGGTCCCATAGCTCGGAAGGTGAGTCAGAGAGGGGTTGGTCAGAAGATAGAAATCATACAACCACTCTATTTTCAAAGTGGAAGGTTAAATATAAAATTTTATTAGCTATTTATAGAGGATTAGCTACTAAGAAAGGGGGAAACACACACTACAGAATTTAGGGCTAAGAATGAGTACCCGAAAGAGGAATTCTTTTTAGACAGAGTTCCACCATTTAAGGCTGGGGTTCAAATCTCACTGCAGAAGGTATAATTGCAGATCATGGATAGTGGAGAATGTCATTGTGTTTCTAGGCTCAGACTGCAGGCAGGGAACAATGAGCTAAACCTTGCAATCGGGAAACTTTCATTGGATTGTGGTGGGCTGAAGGGGACAGTAAGAAAACCATAAACTGGAAGTAGCAAGTTAGGAAGGAAAGCCCACTGGGTATTCCATGC